GGGAGAAATGTCTAAACAAGCAAACAACCCAGCTCAGATGCCATTTGAGGCTGGCCAATTAAAACTACACAGCAGCAGATGATTTGAAAACCAACAAACTAATTCTAAAAGCAGCATTTTTATACTTCAAGAATCCCAAGCTTTCTATAGTGGAGAACTTTCCACTAATGGAGGCTGCAGTTCTTGCTGGGACATTTTAGTGCCAATAGTAATCAACCTATGGCAAAATGGAGCTTCCTCTGGCCTCAGTTTTTTTGGCCAAAAAGTCAGAGTTATTAACTTCAGCTGGACTTCTCATAACTCCTCTATAGCTCCCCAGATGCAGTTTTACATATTGAAGCTTCTGCATGTCCAAACGGTCAGAAAGATGTGTAAACTGTGCAACAGAAGAGTGGCAGTTCAGAGGTTCTGAATTGATTTGGGTTTTTTTGCTTGTCTCTTTTTTCAAATTATTTCAGCCATTCTGCTATTCTGTCCTTTGCAGTGACCACTTGTACAATGTTAACTGAGATGAAATTCTAGTTTGGTTTACTTAATTGTATCATTTAGTAATAGAATTTTGTACCATGAACCATGTATTTCAGAATGAGGAATGAATGAGTGTAACTAAAAAGAAAATAAAATTTCAGGTTTAGGAAGTTCTAAGGCAAGGTGAACCAAATTCTGTTGTCCAGGCTTCTCCACTTCTGTGAAGTTCAGACAGTTGCTTTATGTCTGTCAACTTTGTTTTTAATTTAATCTAGCGGTAGGAAAACCTTGGCTGGACACAGGTCCCAGGTGACAAAGGCTGTGAAAGCACAGAAAATCAGGCTGTAACCAGAAGTTTCTTGTGCTCAGTGCTGAATCCTGGTCCATAGGACAGGCTTTTGGGGCACTGCAATGTTAAATTCTATCTGATGTTTGAAAAATGACTCACATTGCAACACACCTATTAAGTAATCACTCGCTTCTTGCATGATTCTTTCCTGCCTGTAACAATGATAATATTGGAGACTATTTGAATTGTTAACTCTTCATAGTCCTAAATCTGGCATCCTTCCTGCAAGTTGAGAGAGGGTCTGAAGTTGCAGAAACCTTTCAGTTTGCTTTCTTGCTACCTAGGAACAATTCAGTATTCCAAAGACTATACCAAGCCCACAGAGGATCTCTAACATTGCAGGTAGAAATATTGGGGTGGGAGTGTTTGGTTTGGGCTTTTTACACACTATTTTGGCTTTTTTTTTTTTTTTAATTTTTCTGGTAGGTTAGTCTGGAAGTAAAGATGTGCCTCGCTGAAGATGGCTGCAGATTTATCTGTCCTACTCCATTTCCTTCCATCCATCTGTCCATACACAAATGTACCACTCAAGCTTTATATGTTGAGGCTTTTTTTTTGCATGAAAAGATATCAAAAACAACAGTTACCCCTGACTGTTGCTCTAGAGAAGGTAGAGAGTTCCTAATTCATGAATTAGTGATGCAACCCCATACATATTGCATTAGAGCAAGGAACAGTGCAGCAAGTGATGTGTGCTAATTCAATATAAACTAGCACAGAGTGGCACAAAACTACAGCATTCTGCAGTATTTGTGAACTGCAGTGTTCTGAGGGCTTGACATGGCATTTTCCTATATAAAAAGGGTTGCATTGTGCACAAAGTTGTGAAAGAAACGCTGCTATTCAGTGTGTTTCAGCTGTTTTTTTCCTGTAGGGAGTTAGTATTTGCTGTCTACTTTGTTTTGTGGTTGGTTTTTTAGCTTTTTTATTTTTTCAGAACTGGCCAAAGTGCATAGTGCTGCTCATAACTCTGTGGCCAAACCCTATGGCAATGAAGTCTTAGGCATGAATAGAATTTGTAGGTAGTTTAGTTCAGTCTTCTGTTTTTATCAACTTGAGAATAAAGCTTGTTCATTTTAATTTAACACTAAGTCTGCATTGGTTGAATTTACATGTCTTTGAGCCACAAATAAACATAGTGCCTAGCCTCCCAGTGCCAGAAATAACTGTCTCAAAGAAAGAGGGCTGGCATTAAAACTTGCCTGCATAGTGTAGGTGGACGTAGTGCAGTTGTTTTGTAAAGAATTCAGTAGCTTCAGCTCCTGCTCATTGTGTGAATATCTCACATCTGCAGATGAAAGGCAAAAGCCCCTTCCTGACTTTGAGAATAATGTGGTTTCTGTAGCATTCTCTAATGCTCATTAAAGGCTTCCAGTTCTTGACTGAATTGCTGCAAGAGAATTGACCAGTGGCACAGTTCAGTGTTCCACCTATTGAGGTTTCACATCCGCCCTGCCAACTCCTTCAAATCAATTTTCTTGAGCTTTTAAAGCTCTTCTGTTGTTTTGTTGGAATGTGCTGCTGGGAGCTGCTCTGGCCTGTCATTGCAGGCCTGGTCTAAACCCTTAATCTCTGTCAACTTTGCCAAATACTGCTGAGACACTTGTAATTTATACCTTCTAAAACAGATGTGTGATGAGATGGCTGTACATCCATGTCTGTACTTCACAGCATGATCATATTACATACATATAAAAAAGGTGTTGTTTTTTTTTCGTAGCTCCATTATTTAGGTTTTTTTTTTGCTTTAACTCTTTCTGTCTCTTCTCCCTGTCACAATTATTTCTCCAAAGACTTCAGTTGTATTTGCACACTCTAAGTACTGAATATTTTGTAAGGTAGTGTTCTCATTTCCTGCTGAGTATTTATAGCTACATCAACCATTGCAGAGATAGGGAATCCCCTCGATTTCAAGAGAAGAGTTTTCTACTTCCCCTCTTTCATCCTACTGTGTGGCATTTACTGAAGCACAACCTATTTTCCCTAAAGGAAAGAACTAATATTTCATTGCTGGTAGTACCTAAGCCGTGAGTCCCTTGTGGCAGCAGATATTGCAGGTGGTTACATTGGTGCAAGCTGCTTGCAAGCAGGGCGTTAGTTATGGAAGTGAAAAAATAGGAATATTAGTTCATCTTGAGGATTCTAAGTTATATAAAGCTTAAACCCAGATGACTTTGGGTCAGTGCATTTATTTGTATTAGGATGAATCCTACTTAGGTTTGCTGTGGGGCAGAAAGGGTTTGTAAATTACTGTCCCTTGTACCCTCAGCACTGAGAATGAGACACAAAACTGGCAAAGCCACACAAAAATCCTGCAGCAAGATCTGTGCTGACTGCATGTCACTGTTACTCATCATGTGGTTCCTCATTATGATTAGGTAACTTTGCAGATTTCTAATTTTTCCTTAGCCTTCATTGCAATCTGTGAAAACAGATTGAAATTTATTTCTACACGGTCTATTAATGATCATGAACTATTTGATATTACTTTAGATATCTCACTGTATTTGAACGAGTTTTGTCTTGCAGTACAGAGGGAAAGCAATTGATTTTGATTTCTACAGCTGCTTGCGTGGCTGCAAGTTTATACACCAGGCAACACCAAATTACTGGATGTAGATCACCCACCTCCGCGGCAGAAATGGTGCACCTCTGCCATCTCATGGTAGAGCTGAAAAAGAGCAACCAAAATTGCTGGAGGGCAGCCAGAAGTGTAAATGGGAATGCAGTGGATCCTACTATTGGCTGTATTTTAATTAAAGAGAATTTCCCATCATTGTTCAGTACTTCTGTTTGGCTTTGCTCTCCCTATCTCTCCAAATTGGCTTACTTTTTGTGCTTACACTGACTTTGCTTGCGCTTCCCACATTACTCTGGTAGTGTCAGGAGACAGAAGTCATAGTTCTGATTTTAACTTTGGTGCAGTTTCACAGTTTCAGTCTCTCTTTCACAAACCCAAACCCACTCCCCAGACTTCATCCTGGAAAGTGCCCCCTAAGGTTTTTAAATCCACCTCTCAACAGCTCTGGCCCAATATAAGTTAGCCTTATGAGCATCCTGCTTTGTCACTCTTCTCCTCTCATTTCTGGCTTAATCTCTCAGTTTAAACCAGTAGCTGAGGCCTGTGAGCCTGCTCTCTGATTGCATATTCTCCTGGGTCCTGAAAATAAGTTCTTTAGCCATGGATATGAGCCTGGCTGAGAGCAAACAGACCGTGGTTATGTGCCAGTTTCCTGTAACAGTGGAAGCTGGTCTCTCTTGACTGATCAAGAGAAAGTACATGGGTTATTTTGGACTTCCTCCTCCTGGACTTTAAAGCCAGTTTGACAAATCATTCACCTCTCCCTATTGTTTGGGCTCAGTTCCATGTCCTTGTAAGCTAGTGGTACCCGCTGTGAAACAGGCTGTGCAATGATGCGTGGAGTTACCTGGAGTGCTTTCCTTTCATGTCCTGCTCTTGATGTGATGTGAAGTGCAGTCACTATACTGACAGCAGTGCCAGGCTGATATAATGAATTTTTACCTTCAGTATGTTTCTGGAAAATCCTGCAAGAATTCCTCTCGCTGCTGCTTGCCTGAGATGGCGTATTTATGTATTTTAAGCATATTCTGGAAGCACTGTAATACTGTAAATCTTTCCCATGTTAAAATCAGACATTAAAATTCACTGTGCTCTCCACGAATCAAGTAATTTCTTTGATTTATTTTGGGCTGTGTGTCTGTTAGGCATCAATATAATAAGAGATATGTAGTTAATTTGATGTAATTATTATGAATGTCTGCTTTGTAGCAGACAAATTAGTCTTGTGTAACTTGCTCTGTTATGATGTTTTTACCCTTGTTGGAAGATAGTCTGTAATCAGAGCTTGCTGGTGAATGTATATCTGGGGCACAAGTACCTGAAGCTGGAGGGGGGATACAGGTTAGGACTGTAGTCTCAATTGTATTTGATGTTGGTGTTCCATGATAAAATGCTAAAGACATCATAGAAAGGCTTAATCAGAAGTGTTGGTTAGACATGGAAAATTTAACACGTCCAGTTATTTTTTCCTAGCATTAGGCCCAAAGATGAGAGAGGCAGTGAGCAAACCATGAGCTGATGCTTCTCTAGGTGAGCTGAAATTTTTTTCCTACAAGCTGGTCACAATTGGAATGATATCCTATCAAGAGGATGGTGAGGAATTCAAATAATACATCTTAATGGGTGTATATTTTTTTTCAAGTGACTTACCTACTTACACTGGAAAGCATTTAGAGAAGAAATTACATTCTTGTGAAAAACAATTCAGTCTCCTGCTGTCCAAGGCCTGCTTGGTGAATGTTTGTTCAACCAAATTGTGCCAGGTCGCACCAGCATCATTTCAACTGTCCCTGTCAATGCGTGGCATGTTAGTTGGAGTGCTTGTCATGCAGCAAGGAGCTGTGGGAGGCATCCTTAGGGCTCCTCTCTGTATGCATAGTTCAGACAGTGGGGGGAGACTGGAGGAGGGGTGGATGGATGCACTCTGTGCAGAACAGCTGCGACAGCTGGCAGCCTGTTTCTCCAGTGCCTCAAACGTTGAGCTCTGTCAGGCTTGGTGCTGTGACCACTTTCCCGGGGAGCCTGTTCCAGTAGCCAGCCTCCCTCCAGGTGAAGGACCTTTTCTTGATATCTGCTCCATCTGAGTGAGGAGACCCAGGAGCTCACACCCTTTGTGCGCATCCTAACTCCTCTGTGGTACAATTCCTCATGCGCTCAGGCTCATTGCATTTCTGCCTTTACTATTCTGAATATGAGAGGGTGCTAAATACAGGGTTTGGATACCTGCAGTGATTGCTAATATGCATAAAATAGTGCAGTTACAAAAAATTGAATGCTTTAGTGTTCCTCTATTTTTTATTTACATTGAGAGGCTACCACTGTGGTATTCAGACTATACGTTTCACTAGCAACAAAACATTCCCAAGAGGATGCTATACATTTGTGAATTAAGTGACCAGCTTGCTTTTGACTGTTGATGATTTCTTTAATCCATATCCCAGATCTTCCTTAGCTGAAAAATGTCAGTATTGATCTTTCCTTACAAAGCATTTTGAGACATTCAGGCCAAATATTTGAGCTAAGCATAATTTTGTTCCCTTTCTCTTCTTTTGTTTGTCCTTTCCCAGTTAATCAGTTATGCCATAGATATAAGGCTGGACTCTATCCAAGGGAAGCTTTGGCTGATATCTTAATCCACTGTGTTCTTCATAGCCTGCAGTATTTTTGCATTTGTTGACATTATTCATCTTGTTTGGTTTTGGTCTTGTTTACTTTGAAAGGTAAAATCTCTGTCCAGGAGATAACTTAGTTACAAAAAGAAAAATGTATGTATTACTCATCATAGATGTCAGTAACTGAGTCTGTATCCATAATTCTCATATATTGGTGAGCTCTCAAAGCAGGAAAAATGGAGCTGTAGTGAAAAGTGGGAAAAGGCCAGCAGGTGTTGTTTCTTTTCTTGGTTACTTTTGGCTCATACAGCAACTGCTGCGCTTTGCAGGATGAAAAAGAGCTTGGTGCATTTTCCACTAAAATTCCACTCCTTTTCTTTCTGCACAGGAGACTCAAATAGATCTTGATGTGTATCCAAAATCCTGAATTAAAGACCAAATGTTCTGGGAAACAGCGTCTTGGGGAGTTTCTGTGGGTTCTTATTCCACCAAGTGCTCTTTTGAACATTCTTGCTGTTGTGCACTTTGTTCTGTGTCTTCACGGGTACTGAAGAATTTAAGAGGATAGAGCAAGTTGACGTAAAAAACATCAGCTAAAGGCAACCTTTCTGTTTTATTGATCCCTCTGAGTCTGCTTTCAGTTAAGAACTATTGGATTCATAAATATAATACAAATTGATATGAACAAATGATAAGATAATGAACGACATGATTGATGAAGTTTAATATTTTAATATGATTTATGAAGTTTAATTTACATTATATCTTATTTTCCTGGCAAACCGTTAGGATGTGATGAGTGAAGCCTGAAAGCTCAGGTCATTGCATTTAAAAAAAAAAACCAAACCAACAAAACCCAATCCAATTTAAATCTTTTCCCCTCCTCACCCTCTGTCCTTAACTCCTTGTCCCCTTTTCTCTTAAACTTCACGTTGTCAGTAGGTGAACACGTTTTCCACCTTCCTTCCACCTCGGACAGGAGCAGCAACACAAAGCAACTTTTCTAGAAAGAATTAAACCCCTCTTCCTATGTCTTGCAGTTCAGCCATCTCAGTGGTCCAGTAACCCAAAGCTGCCTGTGTTCCCTCCCATCAGCCCCTGATGCCCTATAAAAACATCTCAAAGCCAGACAAACAGAGCAACTCTTCTGGAAGGCTTTGATCATGAGTATTATCTATATTCTTTGCTTCCTCTTGGTCTTCAACTTATTTTTATGTGTGCATGATTATTTGTTGAATAGCCTCATGGCGAGGAGCAGCTATATACATTTCTACAGCACAGAGCATGCTTGGATTTACAAGCATTTTATTCTTGAGGTACACAGCAAAAGAAGGGGCATCCCCAACTGACTAGCATGGATTAGAACTTTTACTTGGGGGGTAGGAACTGGCGCTACCTGCTAAAACATGGATCAGGCCATTTTGGACAGTTAGTGATTTAATGGCTTTGTTTTCCTTACCATAAAGGTTCAGGATACAAAGCCCAACTCAACTCTGTGTTGAGATTCAGAGCAAATGTGTGGATGGAGATCAAGTCGTAAGGTTTGACCTTTGCCTGTGATGAGGGTTGATGCTGGCAGTGCTGCCTATCAAGGCTGCCAGTTTTAGGAGCGATAGCAGCTTTCTGGTGGGGGAAAGCCATTGGTGCCTGTATTTGCGCACAGAATAAAGAAAACACTGTCAGAAGAGATATAAATAGGTAGCAAAAGAGGAAAACAACAAAACCTGCACTTCTGTCTTGCCATCCCAGGTAAGGGGCAGATCGTTCTGTGCTTTTTCTGTCTAAACTCTTTGGCTGCTGCACAGAAAGTGCTGCCTCTCTGTCAGAAATTTGGATTGGGGTGGTAGTTTCTCCATTTGCATGTGGGCCAGCTCTTTCTGTTTCTCACTGGGAGTTTGTTCAGCATCACTTAAAACCACAGAGATTGTTTATTCTCGGTTTTATACCATCAGAGAGCTGTACTGTACATGGATTTGAGGGGCTGGGGGCTTTGTTTTGTCCCTGCAAAATACAAATGAATTCACAAAGGAAAGCAGCCTTCAAAGTTTTCAATTAGAACTGGAATAATGTTGGTGATACAGGTTTCAGAAGTTGCAGAACCAGAGAACTCCACAAGACTGGTAGGAAAACCACACTCTTAAGAACTTCCATATTCATATTCCGTATTCATAACAGAAAAAAACAGCTGTAACTCAAAGTTTCTAGAACAGGGTTTATATTCCGTTGTTATGAAATTGTATATTCAGAATAAAAGCTGTGTTTTGTTATCTTTTGATTGGCAAAGAACGATGAAAAAGTAGAACTGAATAAATACATAAATGATGGGATGTTCACTGATAGTGGACTGAGGGGATTGTTGGATCCTTGGCTAAATAACAAAACACTGAGCATGCTGCCAACAAAATGATAAAATTTTGGTATGTTGCTCAGGTCCATAAAATTGGCTAAATATAAAGTGTTGCCTCTTCAAAAGCTGTAGAAATTTTAGGGGCAAATCACAACTGACATTCTGTTCACATGTATTCTACTTCGATGTGTATATCTGCCTGGGTAAGTGTTACTGGCAAAGAATATAATGATAAATTCATGTTATAATTTTGCCTGAAAACCATAGTTTTAGAGAGGATTTTATTTATTTTCCAGCAAAGACTTCAGCGATGGTTCACAAAAGAATCATGTTCTATTAAATTTGGAAAACTTATCTGTGGAGCTGTATGGCTGGATTAATGAGTAACTTCTACTTCAGTTAGTTGATGTTCCCTTTCAGTGTAGCATTTAGGTCTCTTTTTCCCTGTACAAACTCTCCATGTTCTCTCACTCAGTCACAGCATTCCAGGATGTGCCTTTCCCACAGTGAGCTGCAGTTCCTGCTGGTAGGGATCGTCTTGTGTTATGGAGCTTTGTGTTGTGCCAGCTGCTCTTCAGGAAGGTAGGATGAAAATTTCATGTTAGATTTAACAGTTTTCTAGATATTGATGGTTCTGCTCTTAGGCAGTAACAAGCTTGGGAGTCAATGCTGAAATAAAGAAACTGCACTAGTCTCACCTGTAAGTTTTTGACCTGAGAGCTCCCGAGACATGAGGGAGGACAATGAGTCTAGATTTTGTTCTTTGCTTTTGTTCCAATACAAGTCTGTAACTGAGAGTTATCTTTTCATGAGTAATTCTTATGAAACTTTTGCCTGATTCTTTGATTTAGGAAAATGATTGTTAAATACAACTTATGAATAACCAAATGAAATTAAATGCTTCCAGATTTGCAGCAAGGTCATGGTTTAGCATGTTACCCATGGGCTGCAAACAAAAATACAGTGAGTCCTCTCTTCCATTGTCTTACATCTTAAAATCCAGAGTATTCTTTTTTTGAAACCATTAATGATAGCAGTTGTTCCTGTTTCCTCCATGAATATTTACCAATTTATAGGAAACAGGAATGGAAACCAGATCTTGGCTGTTTGCATAACTGATTTCCTCCATTTAAATTTTGTAGTAGTAAAAAAAGGGAAATTTACAGCTATTTTTCAAAAATTCTGCAAATCCATTGTTTTCACTGTAAAAACTTTATTTTGGTTGTCCAAACAACAGAGGTACTTGAATATTTATCGTAAGTTGCTCACTTAAGCAGTCCAAAGTATGGTCACTGGGGTCAGCATCCTGCCATGGAGTTGGATGTGGTGCAGCTTACACAGAAATGCCTTCCAATTCTATATTACCAAAAAGTAGTAAACCTTAAATCCAGACTGAATCCTTCCTTCTTTTCCCCCTTTTACTCCTCAGATCCTAAGTGTGGGCAGAAACTTCAAGAGAGAAACTCATGGAGTTACTGTAACCTTTTCACTCGGATTGTTGGGGGAACCCAGGTGAAACAAGGCTCACATCCATGGCAGGTTTGCACAAGAAAATGTGGTTTTATCTTCAGAAAAGAGTCTTGACTTTTCATAGACGTGACAAAAGAAGGGAACAGGCACACTTTGTGCTCACTGACGTAGCATCAGCTCTGGGGTACCCAGCACAGGAAGGACATGGACCTGTTGGAGTGAGTCCAGAGGAGGGACACCAAGACAACTGGAGGGATGGAGCACCTCTCCTACAAGGAAAGGCTGAAAGAATTGGAATCATTCAGCCTGGAGAAGAGAAGGCTTTGGGGTGATTATGGCCTTCTAGTACCTGAAGGGGTACAAGGAAGATAGAGGGGGACTTCTTACAAGGGCATGTAGTGACAGGATAAGGGGACTGGATTCAAACTGAAAGAGAGCAGGTTTGTATCAGATATTAGGAAGAAATTCTTTGCTATGAGGGTGGTGAGGCACTGGAACGAGTTGCCCAGACAAGTTATGGATGCCCCATCTCTGGAAGTGTTCAAGGCCAGGTTGGATGGAGCTCTGAGCAACCTGGTCTAGTGGAAGGTGTCCCTGCCTATGGCAGGGGTTGGATCCTTAAGGTGTCTTCCAACCCAAGTCTATCTACAATTCTACGATAGTTTATTGATGAACTACTGCCTGCTGTTATGAAAAGCAATAAAGCTGATGGAGAGGGCTCAGAACATGTCCTGCTCCCCAATAAACCTTTACTTATCATTTTTCATGTTGTTTATCATTATTTCTGAAAGAGCATCTGTAGATGAGTCTCCTGTAAAGAGACATGAAACAGCTCAAAAATAGGGCACAGAAGGACACCACCCCAAGTCCTCAACTCTTGCCAGGCATCCTTCATTTGAAGTGCTCCCAGTGACCTGTAAATGGAAAACTCTCAACTAACCTTTACATCATGCCAGGTACTTCAGGGACTTGGCATTTATTACATGTATGTTGCATTTATCCAGGCACCAAGTCACAGCTGAGGGGAGAACAGCAAGGTTTAGGATCTTTTAAGCTCAAGGACTGGAAGAATGCCATGAAAGTGTATGCTTGAAACACAGGATGTATTTTAGCTGTGTGAACCTTCAGAGTGTACCTGTGTGTGGGTACTTCTTTCTTCCTCAAACACAATCAGAGCAGATATAAAGGTTTTCTTTATTTGGTGTGTCTTCTTTAAATGCTGCAGGTTTCCCTGAAAAGAAGGCAAAAACACTTCTGTGGAGGCACCATTGTTTCTGCTCAGTGAGTGGTCACTGCAGCTCACTGCATCTTGGACAGGATGTGGTATTTCAGGCGCAGGCTGCAGGTGCAGGAAAACATTGACTGTAAAAGCATGTGTGCACTGTAGCATCTTTTTGTGGTGCTTACAGGTGCTACCCCTTTATTTGCAATAAATATTTTCTATGTTTTAGTAGAAAGAGAGAGAAAACCTTTTGAACATCTCAAAAAATAAGTAATAAATAAACTTACTGATGAAGGGATTGATGAAGACTGATTTTGGAAGTGCATGTAAAAATCTGTATCTAACCATAATTACGAGATTGCCATGCCATTGATTTTAGAAGCAACAGCTGGCAGAGTATTTGCAATTAAATGGTGAATGGATATAGTACTGACCTCTTGGATGCCAATGGTTTTCAGCCTAAAAACCAAAAGTTCAGTGAATGAATTTTAAGCAGAATAAAAAGTTTATACTGGAGCCCCTGGTGGTCTAGTGGTAAGGGCATGGTGCTGTCACCGCCGAGGCCCGGGTTCAATTCCTGGTCAGGGCCACTCCCGGGCAGATGGAGCTTGTTAGCCCTTAAAAAAGGCAACCCATCTATGTCCTGAGGACCTCGCTGCCACTGTCCAAGCTCGCTTGGCCCCGGCAGATGAACCTTAGGATTAAAGGGTGGGCTCAGTTCCGCGCACACTGTGTCTCACCTAAAAAATCCAATGCGCAGGCTGGAAGGTGGAAAGACCTTCCCCGGATCTTTGCTCGCGAAGACTGGCCATTGAAGCACAGTCAGGAGTTGCTAAATGATTTTTCTTCTCAGTCCTTTTCATCTCCCGATTTCTCCTGCAGGCCATACTCAGATGTGTGCATGTTAAATGCTCTAAAATCTGAAGATGAAAGGTATTAGGTATCTGGAAGTAATAGTTTCTCTAAACTATGTTTTTTCCTTTCATTTTTAAGATTGTGTAGCTGAACTTTAATTCTTCTATTCTACAGGAACTTACTTCAGGACTTTTTTGTCACTGCACGAGAGCATGATTTGAGGCTCAGGGAGAATGGTAAGCAGACACTGCCTATTAAATCTGTCATGAAGCATCCAAACTGTGACCCCAGAAGGCCCATGAACTATGAAGTTGCCCTTCTGAAGCTGGATGGAGCCTTCATTTTCAGTAAGGCCATAATTATCTGTGATCTTTTTCTCCCATGAAGAAAAAGCTATTGTTCTTTGCATGCAGAGGATAAATTGTCAATACCAGCCTAATTTTTCAGATTCCACAAATATAGCAATACTTTTTTGGTTTTAAAAAAAAAACCCAAACCTGAAAAATTATAAAGGACGATTTTTGTTAATTTCTTTTCAAATACTTACCAATAAAATCCGTGTCCACATGTGGCAGGTTCAACAGTTTTACCAGCATGTCTTCCTCACCCAGCTGAAAAGTTTGAAACAGGACTTGTCTGCACTGCTTGTGGTTGGGTTGCTTAGATGAAAGTAAGTAACTCACATTGTTCTGTGACATTCAGGTTTTTCTGTGTCTTATTTGTGAAGCTAAAACCTTGATTGCATAGTCTTCAGAACTGTAATCTCAAAATGGGGTCTTTGCTTCTATGCTTACCTGTGAATTATCTCAAAATTGGTCACCGCAAAATGTAGATCTGAATTTCAATTTGAAACATGTTGGAATTTATTCAAGTAAAACTGCTTGTATACAAAAAGCTGCTTGTAACAGTAAAATATCTTGGGACAAGTTTCCAACCAATTTTTATGGTGTATTAGCAGTGACATCAAGTTCACGTTTCAGCACTTCTTAGGAACATTTTTTGTGTGTTTCAGATGGACTGCTCCCTCAGGTCTTATATGAAGTTGATCTGCCAATCCTAAACAAAAAAGAGTGTTCAAAAGCATTATCAACTTTAAAGAAAAGCATTCAAGGTGACACTATAATGTGTGCTGGATTTCCAGATGGAGGAAAAGGTGCCTGCCAGGTCAGCTGAACAGAAGGGCTTATGTGCCTTTCAGGAGTGTTTCTCAGAAACTGAAGGCTCTGTGTGCCAGAGTAAATAAATAAACTGTAAACTGTGAGATTTGGAGCGCATTTATTTTGATGTATGAATTCTTTTGAAAGTTCTGTATGGGGCAATGCACTTAATGACATGATCCCTTTTTAATTATTGTATGAGTTGTATGACAGGTTCCTGAGAATAATTTTGCAATGCATCTTAAGTGCAATGATGCTTAGGGCTTTCTCACCTCAGAACACTTGATAAGTTAATTAATGTTGCAAAGATCCTGAGGACGAAAGCAGAAAGTATTGCCTTGGACTACAGGAAGGAAAGAAAGTGAGGTGAAGGTTAAATGATTGTTTCTCACTCCTTTTTACATGCTCAAACATGACAGAGATACACTCATGAGGGAATTAATCTGTCTTTTCCCTTCTTGACAAGCCTGACTAAACACAATAAAAAAAGGTGTGTGTATTTACAGCACTTTTTAAAATGACTGTATAAAATGACTGTGTATGTTGCAGGTTGGTTAGTATGGCACATGGAGCCCCTGGTGGTCTAGTGGTAAGGGTTCGGCGCTGTCACTGCCGAGGCCCGGGTTCAATTCCCAGTCAGGGCCACTCCCGGGCAGATGGAGCTCGTTAGCCCTTAAAGGCAATCCATCTACGTCCTGAGGACCTCACTGCCACCGTCCAAGCTCGCTTGGCCCCGGCAGATGAACCTTAGGATTAAAGGGTGGGCTCAGTTCCGCGCACACTGTGTCTCACCTAAAAAATCCAACGCACAGGCTGGAAGGTGTAAAGACCTTCCCCGGATCTTCGCTCGCGAAGACTGGCCATTATTTATTATATGGCACAAAAGAGAACTCAATAAAGTTTTTAAGGCTTCTCAGTGGTACTTCTGTAAGATGTGGGTCTTGGACTTTTACTTGTTTGGGGTTTTCTTGCAGGGAGACTTAGGAGGCCCCCTTTTGTGTTGACAACATAAGCACGGTGCCTGGACTCTTGCTGGTGTGATCTCCTGGGGGATGGGATGTGCCCGTGGCTGGATAAGTAACGAGAAGAAACATTACAACAGGGGATCTCCTGGAATATTCACAGACCTCAGTGCAGTACTTTCCTGGATTTTAAGAGAACATGAGTGCTGGTATTAAGTCTCCACAGTAATGAGTCCTTCACTTGTGACAACTCCTTTGTCTCATAATATTTTATTTACTTTTGTCTTTTCAGGACATAGCATTTATATTTTTCCCATTATTTCCTGGCAAAACACTGTAGCATTTCATAATCCCTTTAAATGTATGATACTGATTAGCAGTTGCCAAAACCAAATTGAGAGCATTGTAAATGTTTGTTACCCTTCCACTATACTTTGCCTCCTACTTGGACCCTTTTTTTTTTTTAACTTTAAGAATGGTCCTTTTATCCAGCTAGCCCTAGCCTGTTAGCCTGTTTTTTTGGTTTTTTTTTTTAAGTGGAAATTTGCCAGTTGAAAGTGTCTGAGATTCCATATGCACCTCTTTGAAGTCGCTTGTAATTTTTCTTGGCTTAAACATGTAGGATCAGACATTTGACAATATAGGGTCAAGTCATGCTCTCCAAAGTGCCTTTGCTTACTCTGCCCAAAAGGCCATGTGTGCCCTCTGTGCAGGGGAACAGTGTCACAATAAGCCATCACTTCCAAAGTCATGTAGTTGGAAACAGAAATGACAGGGGTGAATTTTACTGAGAGTATTAAGAAACTGTATTAATGTTTTCTTCTACTTTTGGCTATTTTTGTTATAAGGTATTGGAGATTGTGTTAAAACTTCCACAGAGAACTGAAAAACTGAGGAAGGATTATTTAAGAGGTTTAGCTAGTCAATGAGAATAAAAAAAATGGCAGGGAAAAATAAAATTTAATATTAGAAAACACTTCCAACTGGTGATTCAAAAAAGGAATGCTCACAATGTCAGAGAAAAATGAAAAGGGTTTAGCTTCTGGAAAAAAATTTGGGGGTTCAATTTAGAAGAGAGAGAGATAGGGTCTTTTTAAAAATTTACTAGCTGGCTCATTTCCTTATGAGGAAAAAATAATAGGATTAGCTATTGCAGTAATTAAAATGTGTTGGCTCCAGTGAACAGCAGAAGTGATTCAGTAGGTAAAAAGAGAACACAATCCTCAGTTGCACTGGACTAGGCTTTGCTTGCTCACCCCTTTGTACTGTCTCACTGGTGCAAAACATGTGAACTGTAATTGTTGTCAGGCCTACTGTCTCCATATCCCTGATGTGATGGTGCCACTTGGATTCTGCTGCTCTTCCCCGAAATGTATCTCAGGTATTTACTCAGCAATTGTCTAGAAAATGAGTGCTGTGCTGCTCAGGCTGAGCAGTGGCCTGTCAATGTTTGATTAATTCTAGTGGTGCCTACTCCAGAGTTGTTTATTCCAAAATCAGCATCGCCTGACCTTGCAATTTTGTTTTGGTTCTAAGCCCTGGTTTATTGTAGGCACTATATGTCCCCAGGAGGCATTAGCATTTACCTCAGTACTAGCTGTATAAAATTACAATTTTACACAGATAAAAGTAAATCCTGTATTGTGGATATGAAACTACAGTAACTTATTCTTCTTTTTTCACCCCCTTTCCTATCCTCCTCTTATTAGATCTGAAAACGAAAAACTCTACAGGTGAGTACAGTGGGGTTTTCAGAATCTTCTGTCTGTGTTAGAGCATAAAAAGACCCCTGAAATAATTGGATGTATAATTTATGTAGGAAGAAATGTAAAGAAGCTTTGACTCATCAAAACACTTTTAAAGGTATACTTTAAATAGATACTTTTTCCTTCTGCTTCTCTGAAAAAAATACATTTGGAGCATTGCTGGCTTAAAAAAATGTTTTTTTCTTAAAACAGCTGTATATATAAGGCCATATTTTTATTGAAATGCAAATAAAATTAATGGGAAAAATACAGACTAGAACCTCAAGCAATGCATGAAACCTAGTTAGTGATTTTGATACTATATAAAAATGTACATTCTAAATAGAAAGTAGGTGGTGAATAAGTAGTACTTTTGCACAGTCTGTGATGAATCTACTCAACTGTCTGTTTCTGAGAATAAAATGAAAAAAAAAACCAACCCTGAAAGCCATCCCCAGATGTAACATGTTTAAAAACTGAAGACTTATGTTGAATGTGCCCTGTTAATGTTCTTCTTAGACACTGTTCATCTAGGTACAGATTCACATAAAAATACTAGAAACAACTCTGAACTAGACCGTAAAACTTTAAATTTAGTAGTCTACAGTGAGACTTCTCAAATGATAAACACACTTGGGCATGTGGCCAGTTTGTGTAGACCAGCTGTGGCCAGGGAGAACTGGGTATTTAAGTGCTGTTTGTGTCTTTCTGAATTTTTTTTTACTGGGCTTCCTAGGATGTTGCAGGTAGGATAATCTTATAAGTACTTGACTCCTTAAATTTTTTTTCTTACACAGAGTTGTTGATAAATGTTGCTCTTACTGTGTTATCTTGCAAAGAGAAGGAAACATAAGAGGAGATGATTTTTGTAATTAATTGGGTTTCTAGGGACACTTAGCTGGAGAGAAAAGCTGCTTCTATTATAGGGTCTGTAGCAGCATATTGTACTGTTCCAAAAGTCTCCTGCTGTAACATAACTAAGGACATTATTACCAGTAGGCTGCCACAAACACTTTTGTTATGTCCTGAAGTTTGCATTTTTCCTCCCTGAAAATTATTTATACTGAAATCTTCATGTTATAAATAGTTTTGTTAAGGTAATAAACAAGCACTGCTATTTTTACAATAAAATGATGACCTGTTGGCAGGGCTTCATTTTTGCTCCCAAAGTATGTGTTCTAACACTGACTTATATAATTCCAAATAAAAGAGACAAGACCCAGTATCAGTATGCCAGGAGAAACAAAGTACAGCTGAGCAATCATGAGTCTTACAATATTGTCCAGATGTTTGATCTTTTTGGTGGAACAGATGATGGCATATGTGTTAAACCTGATTCCTTCTATTTTGTTTTAACTCTCCAACGCAGCATTTTGTAGTGCTCAGAATGGCAAACTCCGTGACAGTGAAAGGGAATTACATTTTCCTGGAAGTCCCAAACAATTCTATGAAAACCATCAGTAAGAAGACAAAACAGTCTTTCCTCAGAAACAATGTCTCCATACCAGTGTAGGTTTGGGAGGGTTTTTTGTTGCATTTTTGTGAATGGGAACCAATTTGTTATTCTAAATTGTATATATGGACTCTATTTGTGCCAGAAGAGAATTACATATGGCTTTGATTTTTTCCACTTTGATATAAAGCCAGAAACATTCTGTGACTGTATTTCTTTATCAGTGTATTCAAAAGATGACAGACTCGTGGGTGAGTTGTTGTCATCTTATTCTTTGAAATAATCATAGAATCATTCAGATTGGAAAAGACCTCTAAGATCTATAACATGTCAGAATACTCTAATTATGACAGCAAGGGCACCCAATGATGACATGGAGGTTGGTTGTTTTACTTACATTTTCATGATTAATGAAAATTAATGAAAATCCTACGTCACATTGTGACATAGGATGTAAAACAAAAGATCAAGAGTGTGGGAAGAGATTGGAAAATGCCTGTTAAGGAGACGTGTCAGCATATGACTTTCTGGTGTCGATGATATTCAATTTTTAATAGTGTGAATCTATTTGGGCTAATAGTTTAATAGGAAAAGTAGATGAATGAATAGGCAATTTCCTCTCTATCATAAAATTTTTATAGCTAAGTATTAAAAATGGTACATGCAGGTTTTCTCAAATGACTAAAGACTTTAAATAGTGATTATTCTCTAATATTATATTTCAGGGAAATTCTGTGGAGGAGATCCTCCATTACCTATTTTGTTTGGCTCCAATAGAATAAGGTCGAAATTTGTTTCTGACAGTGAGGATTATGGAACCAGTTTTTCCATGACCTACAAAGCTATTACACCAGATATTCTTCCTGGTAAGCCTGAGTTTAGTAATACACCTGTCTGCACTCTTTGGCGGTGTCCTGACAAAAAACCCAGGAGAAAATAAATCAGAGGAAGCTCCCATGGTATTCCTATGTGGATGAAATAATGAACAAGGTGTGTGTGGCTAGGCTGCCATGTGATATTGTGGGAAAAATTAGGATGTCAGAACAAGATAGGATGGATGCTGTTGAGAGAAGTCCTCCTTTAACTTTGCATCTTCTCCATCCTTTTTATATAAGATGTCATTTCCTTCCATGCTTACAGAATGGTTTTAAAACTCAATTAATAAGATTAATCAAAGGAGCAGAATTTCCAGATGAAAGCTGCTTTGCTAGTCCTGGTATTTCATGGAGGAGCCCTGAGGGAGGCAGATGATGTTAAATTCATGTCATAGAGAATTGCTTTTCGTTATGCTGTGCAGAGGAGTTCACCATCCCTAGGGAGTGGGCCCTAGGGCCACCTGCTGGGTCTTAAGTTACAAACAGACTCCTGCTGTTCCCATTTCTGCAGCTTTTCCTGCTGGTTCTTTCCTTTGCAGAGTGTGAGGGCAGAGTGTGGGGAGGAATCCCCTCTGAGAGTCTTGCCACTGCATAGCCCATCAGAAAGACATATCCTCTGGTTTTGTTCATGTCTCCACTTTCCAAACAAAGTTGGCAAATATTCTTCAGACCTGCTCTTGTCCTGTTCTCTTCCTCAGCTGTGAGAAGGCATCATAAGAGTTTTTTCTGTGTTATTTTTGGTGAATGATTTAATAGGAAGTCACAGTGCTTCCATTTGTGTTTTCCTGGACTTTCAGATTCTGGCTGTGAGTCCCTAGCTGTCTTTTTTGAAGAAGGAGTCTTACAGAGTACAAACTACCCATATTACTGCAACATGACAGACTGTCAATGGATTATTTATACACCAGAGGATCATGTAGTCAAGGTATAACATGAAACCTTCTTGTGTCTACAGGATGGAAGTGGGCATCACTGGGTTAAAAAGAAATCGTGCAGCTGACAAGCAAGATTAAACAACATGAGCTTGAATAATGCTGCTGGATGCATTAAGAGGAATCACTTTCAATCCCAAAAGACAGAGAGGTTTTGATTTGTCCTTTAGATTATAGTAAAATAGAGTTTCCTGGTTTCGATTTTATCATGACAGATTCTTCTAGAAAATGTAATATATTATGTATCACGTGTGGGAGGTCTGAATGTCACAGAAAGCAAACCTTATAGGAATCATTCAGAATACTAAAGACCCTGTCACCGATCTTTGAATTTTTTCTATGTGACTTTAAATACAAGGTTCAGTTTTTAATTTTTTATTAAAGCTTACCTACCAGTCCTTTGAAGTAGAAGAGAGCAAAGATTGCTTCTATGATGCTGTGACTGCGTATGAAGATGTGAGAAAAGAGGAGGAAATCAGTTTGGCTTTTGATTCTTTGGCTTTTCGATTCTTGGGGATGACCTATTTCTTTTATGACTTTCATTAGCCCTATTGTCCAGTCTAAATTCAAGTTCACCTCTAGAGTCTCAGGTGATATTATAGATACTAGTTTCAGTACCTCGAAAAATACTTGCTAGTATTGCTGGCCTCTGTTCCACTTACAGAGGCAAAACCATATCAAACAGAATAATTTTTTGCGTTTAAATTCTACATGAAATGCAGTTGTGAATTCATTTAAATGAAGAAAAGGACATAACACAATCATTCGGTTTTATAGTGATGATCAGACACACAAAGCACCTAAGAGATCTGCTTTTCAGAGTCTGGTTGTTCTTTACTCCAGAGCAGTCTTCCTGGCACCTGTCTTACAGTGAATGAGTGGAAGGCCTATCCCAATCAACTGATTTCAGCACTTGCTTGAAGCTGGTACTTAGATTGGCACTAGCAGAGGCTAATTCTGAAACACTGTAATCAGTGGAAATCAGATAATTGGTGTGTTTCACGTGTCATGGCAATCTGTGGGTGTGAGTGCTGCAATAGACTGTTGTGAAATACTGCCAGAGACTCCCTGTTCTGATGAGGTAATTACTGAGCAGGATGATGTAATTACCTTCTGATGAGGTAATTACTGAGCAGGACAGCATGTCAGTAATAACAGAACAGTCCTTCAGCCTCAGTCTCCTTATATGTTGTATATAGTTATTTTTTACCCTCCTGTGTGAGAGCTGGAATATACAGAATATTGCATACCTGCTGTCGAAGGAGAGAGGAATTAAAAAGTACCTGTTAATCTCCAAAGTGAGCCTTTGCTTTCTCAGCTTTAGCCAAGTCTTGTGAATTTGCCCTACCAGCACTTGTCATAAGCTCCTCTGCTGAGATGTTGGTTGTCTTTCACTCTGATGGAACAAGAGACCTTTGGAGGATTCAGAGCTACGGTCTCTTTTGTTCCTGTAGCAGGTAACACAAGTAGCTTGGGAAAATGCCCCTCTGGGCCAGCACAAAGGGCTCTTCAGTGAAACAGCTATTCAGAATTATTTTGCTCTAGGAGATTCTCCTCTAGCAAATTGTTTCAGTGAAAAAAAAAGTATTGTGAACCTACTGAGGTATTAAACAAAGCCCTACTGAATGGTGAGGAAGCAGTGAATCTACGGAAAACCTGAGAGATTTATTTGTGTAAGAGTATTTTGGTGCATTTTAAATGGCCCTTCACTACTATGTGAAGATGTAGTAGAACAGATCCCTAAAACAAAAATCTGTTCCTTCTACAAAAAAAATAATTAAGGAAATAAAAGCAATTTTATAATACAAATATGACTCAAGACAACCTGATAACATATTTGCCATTCTCATTTGCTAGATTTATATACATTGAATTCAACTAGTGATGAAGAATCTGGAGTCATGGATGTGCATATGACTGAAGAAGAAATACAGGTTACAAGAGGTAAGCCAAGCTGAGTTATATTTTCTTCATGGGAATAGAGAGTAACTTTTGAACTTTTGAAATATTTAATGATTGCTGTTGTCCCAGATTTTTTCAGTAAGGTATTTTAAGGAAATAGAAATATGAATAGGAACACATGCTTTGGCTTTAGCAGAACTTAATTTTTCTTCTTTCATTCATCTTGTAAGTCATGTAGAGCAGTGCAATGACAATTCATCTTGTATGTCATTTTACACCTACTTCCTTCAGGGAAAATAAGTGCAAAGACTACAGGGTAATTGAAAATAATAACCAGCATTTTAGAGCTTCCCTTTTTCTCCTCCTACTTTATGGTGAATGGGATGGATGAGTCCATGCTCATTGTAGATTTGAGGCTGTAACTTTTGAAGTAGTAGCTTTTATCTTGGTGCAGCTCTTTTTTTGCTAAGACCATCTCCTCATGCTAGTTCTAAACATTTGGATCCTTTGTAATGAGGGAGGTTGGAGAACTTAGCAAAAAAGCGTGGGGAAGGGAGGCTTGAGGAGCTATGGGGTATAGCCCTTAAATGGAATGTTCTTTGCTTCTCGAAATTTAACCTCTAGAGACTTCTTGAAACATCAGTGTTTTCTTTCTGTTTCAGATGATATTTGTGGAATGCTTTCAAATCAGCCCAAGTTCATCTTCAGCAGGATAACTGGAGGTGAAGAAGCTGTACCATACTCCCAGCCTTGGTATGTCAGTGTACAAATTTCAGATGAGCATATCTGTGGAGGAGCAGTTCTTGCCAAAGAATGGGTCATCACAGCTGCCCACTGCCTTGATTCCAAGTAAGTAACTGGGATGAACCTTTCCCTGGGAATGCCTGGAATTGCGTGGTGTGTCTCTGTTCAGTGACAGTGGTTCTGTCCAGGATGGCTGGAGCAGTTTTTGTTACCAGCTCCCTATAGCTTACACTGACTGGCACTGGATTCCTTTGCTATGCACACGTTCTGGGAATTTAGTAGGTTTTAAGATTCACAAATTTCAAGAACGATGTTATATCAGCCTGACAATGGACTTTTTTATATCAGCCTGACAATGGACTTTTTTATATCAGCCTGACAATGGACTTTTTTATTTTTTTTCCTTAGGGAACTCCACAGAGATTTATGGATGGTAGTAACAGGACTTCATGATCTTACAGAGCAAGAGTACAGACTATGTGGTACTATGTGTTCTGCTTAGTAATAAAATATAAATCTATCTTGCAAAATTGTTTTTAATGTAAATACATCTCTCATATTGTTGGTGATGCGGCAATGTAACAGCTTGCAGAGTGACCTTAATCTGCATTTACACAACAGCTTCTGTGTGTATCAACAAATAGTATCAACACAGATCTGTGACTTCACCAGTAATGAGCTCTGAAGATCAGTATCCCGGAGGATGTGGGATTGAGAAGAGTATTGTCTGTATGTTCACTAGTGACTATCAGCAAGACAGAATAACTGAGGCACAACTTGCCACTTCACTCACATCGGACAAATGTTTTTCCAAGACTTTCTTCCTACACTTGTTGGATGGAGTTTCCAGTACATTCCCCGTTCCATGTCACAGATGCATAACCTTGACTTGTTAATACAAGAAAGCTGGTGTCTTCAGCAGCTGCTTTTAAATGTATCCTCCTTGTGAGGATATGTATCTTGCATATAAGATACATATAAGATGTGTATAATCACTTAGTTGCTATTCTGTTTTACTTAATAGGAACAAGGTGACTTAAAATACCTTTTAAGTTTTTATCTGTTTATTAATTTAACACAAGAATTTCAAATGGATATGTTCAGAAAAATGAAAGGGTGAAGGGAAATCTACAGGTGATGTCAGCTATGCTGATACTGAATGCAGTGGTTATATGCTGATAAATCAATATCTCTTATGAAAATTCCTTTCATCTATTCAGTAGGCTACTAAATATTGGTATTTCATTGGCTTGTTAGGGGACTTACTGTTTGCTTGATACTGACCATTTGTGTTTCTCTTAGTATGGTTTTACAAGTAGTCTAGTTTGACTTTTGTTTGTTGCATCTTTTTAGTCTACTTTACAGCGCCAGTGTCTTTTAGCAATAATGTGAACTTTTTTGTGATGCAAATGAAATCTGATTAAAATAAATAAATAAGTACAAAGTTACTTTCAATGGAGCTCATGTAATGGAATTCTGTTTTAGTTTTTACAGTTTGTATGGAGACCTCTTTAATTCTTTACAGTTACATGAGGCTTTCCCAAACCCTACAGTCAAAAGGTAGGATACTAGCAGGCTACCTGAGTAGTGAGTCAGGCTCAAGTTCTCTGCATGTTTAAAATCTGGATATAAGCCTTCTGTTGTTGTGTAAGTAAAAATATCTATATATCTAAATATTTAGAATAAAAGTCTATGTCTGAAAAAAATCTTGTTCTGACCTTTGGTTAACATGAGAATCTGTGACCATAAGTCACCCTGGTTAGATCTGGAATGGTGTCCTGATGGTGTCCTGCTCTCTGTGCTCCTCTGCCTGCAGGAGCATGCCATGCCTTTCCTGACTCTCCTTTGGGCAGACTCTCACTGTGGGTCTGCCCAAAAGGATGTAACAATCACAGTATTTACATATCAGTATAAAACTACATTCTCATGGAATCTTCCCAGTTTTCTTTTTTCCCTTAGCCATTTTTCCTTTGTACTTTATGAGGAGAAGTGGCACAAGGGCAGCGTTTTTTTTCTTGTTTAGGAATCCTTTATTGTAATTCACTGGGTGCACAGAGATAGTGTTACTTCTTCATCTGAAGTGACTAGTTCTGACTCTCTTTGTATGCTTTCAAAAGAGTGAATTTAACAGTAACACCAGAGGAACTGTGGGTGTTATGTTTGTGTAAGACAAGTTAACAAGAGGAAAGGATTAGGCTTGGTACTTTGATGAGGGGAAAAAAAAAGTTTTATTTTATACAGACCAAGCCCCTGCCTTTGTCACAAAAGACAATAATCAACAAAAATTGTAGTAGCATTAGGAATAGTACTGGCATTGTAACACAGTCTTTGCCTCTAATGATGGCCCAGCCATAATGGTCTTTAATTAAGGCTGTATCTCTTGCAACCTTGAGGGAGGATGTTTGGTATGGAAATGAAACATGCGAGCCATACCTGTGAATATTGAATTGGTAGCTTTTAAGGTTGCACTGCTATTTCTCTGCTATATTACAGGAAAGACTGTGGCAAACTGGGCCTCTGGACCAAAGCTGCTTCACTGTTTCTGTTGCTGAACGTGAACACAATGAGAATTGAAGTAGGGGAAGGAAGAACGGACTGGATTTTATGGCTGTTCCTCTGCTGCAGTTCTGTGCAGAGGGGGTCTGGTTGGCTGCAGTGGCTGTGTGTCCGTGGTGTGCTCCATCCTCTCCAACACTGCCCCACAGCCCTCTGTTGGCGAGCTCTGCACATGGGGCATGTGAAATGCTGATAAAACACTCAGAATTCTGAAACATGCCTTAGATTTACAAATGGGGCCAGCAGGACTAGGGAAGTGATTGTTCCCTTGTACACCGCACCAGTGAGGCCACATCTTGAGCACTCTGTCCAGTTCTGGGCCCCTCAGTTCAAGAAGGACATTGAGGTGCTGGAGCATGTCCAGAGAAGGGAACAGAGCTGATGAAGGGTCTGGAGGGTAAGTCCAATGAGGAGTAGCTGCGGGAGTTTTTAGCTTGGAGAAAAGGAGGCTCAAGGGAGATCTTATTGCTCTCTACAACTTCCTAAGAGAAGGCTGTAGCTGGGTGGGATTGGCCTCTTCTCCCAAGCATCTAGAGATGGGATAAGGAATTGGCCTCAAGCTGCACCAAGGAAGGTTCAGGCTGGACATCAGGAAAAATTTCTTCACAGAAAGGGTGATCAAACATTGGAAAAGGCTGTCAAGGGAGGTGGTGGAATCACCGTCCCTGGAGGTGTTTAAGGAAAGCTGGACGTGACACTTAGTGCCACCGTCTGACATGGTGGTATTCAGTCATAGGTTGGACTCGATGATCTGAGAGGTCTTTTCCAACCTTATTGATTCTGTGATTCTGTGAAATCAGACACTACGCATGGGAATTCGGCTACCGGGGCAGCCTGGCCGGGGGCGGAGCTACGCTGCGACCAGGCCGCGCCTTCCCAGGTCCTGCCCCATCGATCCCAGGCGCGCCCGGCGGAGAGACCGGGAGGCGGGAGTGGTGGCGGGACCGGGCGGGGCCCAAGGCGCGGTGGGCAGAGGTCGCGGCAGAGCCAGACCGGCCCGGCGGGAGCTGCGGGCAGGCGGCAGCCATGGAGGCGCTGGGGGTGAGGGGCCGCGCGAGGGGGGCCGGGCCGGGCCGGGAGCGGGAGCCGGAGCTGGGCCGGGAGCCCTCACCGCCTGTTCTTCTCCTACCCATAGGGAGCACCTGTAGCCGTCGCCGTGGCCGTGGTGGCGGCCTCGGCCCTGCTGCTGCTGCTGCTCCGGGGGAGCGGGCGGAGGATGAGCGGCCCCGTCACCCTGCAGGACCCGCTCGTCAAGTACCCACTGCGACTGCTGGACAAGGAGGTGACTGAGCGCGGGGTCTGGAGACTGTGGGGCCGCCGGTCGGGGGTCTGAGGAATGTGGGTTTCCTGAGAGTAGACTCGTTACTTTGTGTGTTTGAAGTCCTGGCTGCGTTTCTCCCTGGATCTCTGTCGTGTGTGTGCCACCAGTGAGATGCAACCCCGTGTGCTTCTGCACGCCCTGTCTTGCCTTGATCTTTGGCCACAGTCATGGCATGTGCTCACTGGCCTTGGGCAATAGTTTCCAGATTTACTGCACGCAGAGGTGCTGTAGGGATTGCGCAGACAACCAAAAAGTCACTCCTTGTGGAATTAAAAAGACTGCTTCTAAAACTTCTGATTTATTTAAACTTTATTTTTCAAAGCTGTTTCTGTGTCCTCTCCCACCATTTGACTTGCATGCAAACACAGAGCAGGCTTACTAAAGCATACTGTGTTGAGCATAGTTTGAAATTCAAAGCAATGGTGATGTTGACCTTATTCTAACTTTGCTTTTTAGGAAATCAGTCATGATACTAAGAAATTCCGATTTGGGCTACCCTCCGCTGATCATATATTAGGGTTACCTGTAGGTAAGTACTGGAAATATTTAATTACATATATTTCTGGGTTTAGGATTTGTAACTGTTCTCATAGTCCTTGGACTTCTGACTGTCTAGGAATTTAAGACTTAGCAAAGTAAGGAGTTAAAAGCTGCCTCTGAATGCTGCTATTCTCAGAGAGAAATGTCAAGTTTCCCAAAGGGTTGTATTTCTGATCTGTGTGTGCTTTGTTCTGCTTGTGCTCAGTTGTGTGGCCTGGTTTAGAACAAGAGCAGCAAAACTGAACTGTCTGATGGAATTCATCACCAGTCAGGATATAAGCAAGAATGGTAGCTGTAAAAGCTTTTTTATATCCCTTATTTGCATTCTACTTCCATCTGGTGCCCTCAGTTTATTGCCAGCTGGCCTCATGTTTTTGGAAAACACAGTTACACTTGTAAATGAGAAAGAGAACAAGTCTTCTGCCTGGGAAGCTTGTTGGGAGAAATACAACTACTGTACATAGAAGATGCTGAAATATTCAGAGCCTGCATGCACTTACCCTTGATTTACACATGTTTCTGTGAAACTTTGTCTTGAGTTCTGTAGCGTGAAGTTCATTTCAGGTTACGATTGGCACACTCTACTTTCCTGTACCCTGGAACATTGATAGCACTGAACCTTGGACCTTGAATTGATGATAATCTCTGCAGGGAAAAGTCTCTTTCTCTGATCTGCAAATGTGGCAGATGCAACCGTGTTTGTTCTGTACTGTATCACAGTATTCCATGCTGGATGGCAAGTGTCAGGGTTTTCCCATTGCATGCTGTGAGCATGTCCTTCTTGCATGCTGCCTGTCAAGGGCAGATGTCTTTCTCCAAATTCTCTTCTGGCTTGTATGGGAAAGAGTAATTGAACTGTCTGCATTGACTAGACAAATAATAAACCAAACAAGATGTGCCTTGCAGTGATTGTTCATCTAGATTTCTTCCTTAAGAATTTAGGAATAAGATCCTGGAACTGTATGGGCCAGATTACTTTCTGAGAGATTCCTGCCTTCTGCTTTCTACCATGATTATTATGGTCATGGAGGCAGGAGATACAGAGAAGGAGTACGGCCCAAGGTGTTGTTCTTGGTGTTTTGGTGCAGAATCTCTGGGAAGTTTGCTCTGAGAGAGGTTGCTGCTGTTAAACAGGAGTACACAGTTCTGTGACTGTGTGAACTGTTGTGTCCATACATCCTCTTCATCAATGAATATGAGAATAGCAGAACCCAAAATACAGAGAGCACTTCAGAATGACCAGCAAACCTTCCATATTGCTGTTTTACTATCAATTTGCTACTTTCCTTGTACCTTATCCTTGTTTCTGTATTTACTAGCTCTCCTGAGTTACTCTATGCTCCAGAAACTGTTGCTAAAAAAAGACAAGAAACCAGGTGTCTTGTACAGTGCTTATATGGCAAAGATTTTCTTTGTCATTGCATGTGTGTAACAGGTTACACTACCTGCCTTTCTCTCTTGTCCTCCAGGGGTGAAAAAATAATTAGATGTAATTCTTTGTCCCCAGGCCAACATGTTTACCTTTCTGCAAAAATCGATGGCAGTCTGGTGATTCGAGCCTATACCCCAGTTTCCACTGATGAGACAAAAGGTTATGTTGATTTAATTATAAAGGTAAATTTTGTTTTACTTTAATATAGACAAGTCGCTAACTGGAAGGAAGGCAAATACTTCATTTTAATGAAATAGTTTGTTTTGATTTAGTCATCAAATTTCATCTTTCATTCAAATCTTGTTAAATTTCATTGTCATCAGGTTTCATCTTCTTTCAAATAGGGTGAATGCATGGCAAACAACTCATTTCACATTACCCTTAAATAGTAAGTTGTATCCTGTGTATCTGCTGTGTGTCACTTAGAGATAGCAGAGGTAGAGTAGATGGAGAAGGGAATCACTTCCTTGGCAGTACTGCAGGAACTTCCCCAGTATCTTTTATTTGGCAGTGCATGAAAACTGATCCCTCTCCCTAAAGATGCCTGTGCTGCTGCTAATGCTTACTACTAACAGCTCTAAGTAGAAAACAAGTCAACCAAGGGAAGAAATCCTTTAAGCCAGGGAATGCAGGATGATCTGATCCCAGGACTTCTGGATTTTCTAATCCTTTTCTACAGTAGAGTTTGTCCTTAGGCAATCTGAGGTTTTTTTTTTTTTTTTTTTTTTTTGCATGCTCTGTTCTTCATGCTACAAGTGTGGTGAATTGTTATTAGCTACTTAATACTTCCTATGTGCTTTGAAAGCTGAAAAGGCTGTTGTGTGGCTGAGCCTCTGGGAAAGTCTTAAAAAAATGCAGCAATGCTATTTCCAGAAGGAGTGGTGACAAAAATGGGGTGACACAAGGTTCTTACTGAAGTGATAGTGAAATGAGGGCACTAGCAGATAATCTGCCTGCCACCCATTCCTGTTGACCTGGCTGCAGAGCAGAGGGACATGTGCACGATAGCACATTTAACTTATTTTGGCTGCTTCCTGTTGCAAGGTTTAATAGATAATTAAGAGTAAAGAATTGTCTCAATTTCTTTCTCAGGTGCTCAATTTCAGACCTGCGATATTTTGTTAGACAGTTTGTAATACTGTCTACAGGAAAGTTAGTGGTTGATATTGGACAAGTTATTGGTTTTTTACAGGTCTACCACAAAAATGTGAATCCCAAGTTTCCAGAAGGTGGGAAGATGTCCCAGTACCTAAATGGCATGAAGATTGGAGATACTATTGATTTCAGAGGGCCAAATGGACTCCTTGTGTATAAGGGGGCAGGTACTGTGACATGAAGGTGGGAGAACAAAAGGGAGGAACTTGTATTGGTTATTTTCAGAGGTGTTCTATAAAACTTGACAACTTTGCAGAGAACTTTTTTTTGTGAAGTGGAAAAGAGAAAATCCGCCTTTTCTAGACTTGACCAAGAGCCCATTTAAGTTGATATGACAGAAAAGAGTACTTTGTGGTTACTTTGTGTACGAAATAACTGATGATTGTCACGCTCCTGGGATTATATAATAAATCTGAAAAAATTGCACTATAAGACTGAGAAGTCTGCACTGGAAATACTTCAGCTGCACATATGGAGGGAGATGCTTCCTAAATAAGTGAGGCTGTGGCCTAAAAATCTCAACTCTGTTACTGAATAACCTGCTGACTGAGAGCCAGCTCCATTTTGTAGTTAAACCAGGTCTGAGTTGACTATGAGGAAATAAACTCAGAGAAGTAATCCTCTTGTAAGATACAAGTGAAAGATTTTGCACTGATCTTGACTGAGAGGAGTTGTGCACTTAAATCTTACCTCAGGGGGATAAACGCTCAGTGCTTCTTTGGGTCATGACCTAGTGTGGTCAGCAATATACTGATGAGTCCTTTATATCTCAGAGGAGGTGAGGGATGTGTGTTTTACAGATGTTCCTGTCTGCTCTGCTTTGGCAGCTATAAAAAGCTAGGAAAGCTTGTTGCTAGTTATGGATCTTTTAAGATTGGAACGTGCCAAATGCTTTTCTTATAGAATTCTTTTCATGGGCTTTTCATTTGACTTGGTCCTTGGAGATCAATTTAATTACAAACTGCCTGGTTTTGTGATAGTTCTGAAGGAATTGGGAAAGGTCGTCTCATCACAAGATATTTGAAGGCAGTCACCTAGTTGACTGTGAGTGTCATGGGCATCTCATTAACTGGAAATCAATTACAGTAATGAAAAACTTGATAAAACTAGGACTCCAACATTCCTAAGTCTAATCTTTGCAGGGGTTCTTGCTTGATGCTGGTTTAATAACAACTTCATTAATTATAGGCATACACAAATAACTGCATCCATAGTGCAAGTGAGGATTATGAAGGTGGCCTAGGAAACCTGTTTCTCTGTAGTAGGGGCTGTGGTGACTTTCAGCTACCACTGACATTCGCAGTTGTGAGTTGTGTTATAGGCAGAGAGGTGAGAATCCTTGAGTTTACTATAAGCAGTGCTGGGTAGTAGGAAAGGAGTCAATCTGTTGTTCAAAGATTGGAATTTACAGAGACAAAGAGGCTTCCCCACTTGTGCTCAGTGTTGTGCTGAGTCCATTGAGCACTTCGAGAACATTTCTCTAAATTAATTGGTAGGCTGTAGTAATTTATTGCCACAGAATTTGTATCCAGGTTTGTTTGGAAGTTAATCTAGCTGTAGGTTTTCAATGTTTCTTCCAGGTACCTTTCTTATCAAGCCTAACAAGAAGTCTGAAGCAGAGAAAAAATTTGCAACACATCTTGGGATGATAGCTGGAGGAACAGGTAAAACTATTCTCATCATATGGAATGTCTAGAGAATGAAAATGTCTTTATGGATGCATGTGAGAAGTATCACTGTACCTTAGTAGAGTACTTACACCTATATTTCTTCTCATGAGCATTTGGCAACACAGAGTTGCTTGAGCAGCATCTCCAGTGGCTTGAGCTCAGTCCTGGGGGATGGCAAGTTCAGTTTGAATACTGATTTACCCTGAGACCTCTGAGAAGTCACTTCATCTCTCAGTGACAAAGAGCATTTTAGGAGAATGTTGTGAGGGTAAAATTACTGTATGTGACAGAATGATGAAGAGGAAAGCCCTGTACACAAATACTGTGGCTTTTTTTGAAACTGTTTGTAATAACAGAAACCCTCAAACTCTGCATTTGATGTGGGTTAGAAATTCAGAGATACATAGCCCTGTGCAAACCAAGCTCTCACTGACGACTGAAGGAAGGCAGCATTAATGCTGAAAATGTAACCATGGAAAGAAATACGCATTTTATAAGCACTTTGTTTTTTAACAGGAATAACTCCGATGTTGCAGCTGATTCGTCAGATCACAAATGACCCGAAGGACTCCACAAAATGTTACCTTCTTTTTGCCAATCAGGTGAGTATTCTGACCCACCTGTTTGTTCCTCTTCATTAGCCTACTTTTTGTACTGGCCTCTGGGCTTTTTAAACTGATGGCACGTTTCATACTCTTCCAGTGGTTTTGGGTTTGCATTTTCACCCAGCCATTTATGAGAAAATACCACCTGAGACAGCACATTTAAAAATAAGCAGTATAGGGAAGAGCAGGAAATGGTTGTTATGTAAGTTATTAATATATTGTCTTAGGTTAAAATTATTTAAAAATTATCCTTATAAATACTTGTGTGATGCTGTCGTGGATTTCTATGATCTTATTTCATTTCTTTTGAAGGTGTCTCTTCATAGTTTCACTTAATTCCTATATTAGGGAATAAATTCCATTACCAGATCCTGATGTCTTTATTCATCTTACTCCTTCACTGATTTCAAGGAAAAAGGATTTGTCTCTGCTAATCTGTTTGTACAGTTAACCTTCACCATGCTGGTCCAGGGCCATATTGCCAGAGTCATAGACAAATCCAGATCATTGTGACTTTAGCCTGGATTAAAAAGCTGTTCAGATTGCCATCTTTAAGACTTGTGTTTAGTTGTCTAATAAACATCATAGTTTGTTTTTCTTAAACTGAATTCTCAGAAGTCTGCAATGATAACAGAATCATGGAAGGGGGGAAAATCCAAATCACTTTCTTGGTTTGCATTATCATTGCATTTGTCTTGAATGTCAGATGAGCTCACATCAGAGGGCCCTTGGAATGGTTTGGGGCTAAACAGCAGTTTCGTTTTGCAGACAGAAAGTGATATATTGCTGAGAGCTGAGCTAGAAGATATTGCAAAGAGGCATCCTGAGCAGTTTGTGCTGTGGTACACACTGGACAGACCTCCTCAAGGTAGGCTGGAACACATGGAAATGCCTTTGCTTGTTGCTGTACAACAGGCAGAGAGAGCTTCGCTCTTGTTCAGGTGAACATTAGATTGAGTCTTCTTGTTTTACACTTAAACAGCAAAGTTATCCCCCAACTCCTCAGAAAAAAACCCCCTTACCACAACCCCTGTTCTAAAAAGTGATCTAAGCCAGGTGGGCCTTTACAAAATGTGAACTAATAGTTAACTCCCGTTGGGTCAGACACATTACTCAGATCTTTTCATGTATTTCAGGATATACCTGTTTTTAGGACTTTTCAGCAAAAGTTTCAGCTCTGTTTTGAACTATCTTCCAGATCAGTTTATGTTGGTATTTTGTTGGCATTAAATTGCCTAGTACCTGTAAATAGTACATGCACATCTTGATTTTGCAGCGGCTCTAGATTAGGTTCTAGGCTGCCATTATATATGAATGCATTACCTGTGGGCTGGTGTAGGGGTTGAATTCTACTATATTTCCTTTGAAACTTGGGTGTTCATGCTTGCTGGTGTAAGTGATCTGAGCACTTACTGAACAGACATAAGAGCCAAACTGAGTCACATCAAAGTTCTGTACCTGTTGTCAACAACAGCCATGAGTAAATGGCCAGAGAAGAGGCATCAACAGGCCTTGATACTCTTCCAGTCAGTAATATTCAGTTTTGAGCCAAATGTGTCTTTACAGATACAGTCACCCTCAGTGGGCTACATTTGTCAAAACAAAGTGTCTCTCCTCTGTGTTTTGACAGTCTGTGAATGGTTCCATAGGAATAGCACTTTTCTGTGGAGAACAACTTCCTCTGTTTTCCATTTGCCTTTTAATCCTTGTGTTGGCGTGACTAAGTCTTCACGTTACTAATTTTACAAACCTCTGTCAATCATCCCTGCTGCCACATCTCTTTTAGACTGAAGATTGCTATGACTGATTACATACCTTTGCTCATCCGTGTCCTCTCAACCTTTTCCAGCTCTGCCGTGTCCCTTCTTGAGCTGAGCAGATCTGAACTGCACAGCAGCAATCAAGGTGTAGGAAAACTGTATTTCTGCTTTGATGTGCTGCTCCCTTTTCTTTTCCTGACCCTTCTTGATATTTCATATGCCTTTTGGCTGCTGCTTTTTTTTCATAATATCTTGCTCATGAGAAATGAGCTTAAAGCACATAATTTTATATATAAAGGCAGTTTTCCTACTGCTCACTTCAAATGGCAGGTACATTCAATAATATTACTGCTTGAAATAGTTTAGCATTTCTTTCTTCTTTTTTTTTTTCCCTCTTGTCATTTAACTACATGGTGGAACTTTTGTCATCATCAAACTTTGTCACCTTGATCTCTAAAATAAAACCATAAATGGAAAAATGTGTTGGATGGCACAGGTGTCACTACCTCTCCCTGCACAACTGCCAGTGGGTGAGCTCTCTTCACTGGAAAAGCTGATTCACTCTTCCTTTTTAATCTTGCCTGCTCCTTTCTTTTTAAATCTAACATTTATTCACAGACTTTTATGTCTTATCAACCAGATCCTTGTTATCCACATGCTTGTTGTCCCTAAGCTCCGTGAGAAATTTAACCCTCATCTCGCTCACAGTGGTGGTGGCATGACTGCTGATTCTTCAGCTACTTTATGAGTTCAACATATGCAGTTTAAAAAGGCTTCAGGCTGTACAGATTTTTCAAACTAATAGTTTAATTTCTTTGTTTCAGACTGGAAGTACAGTTCTGGCTTTGTCACTGCAGACATGATGAAAGCCCACCTCCCTCCTCCAAGCAGTGAGACTCTCATTCTCATGTGTGGGCCACCTCCAATGATTCAGTTTGCCTGTCAGCCCAACTTGGACAAGCTTGGCTATCCCAAGAGCAGCACATTTGCTTATTAACACAGATGCCATCTGATACCTTTTTGTAAGTACTGTGTATTTTCCTATACAAACAATTGATATGTAACTGTGCAGCACTTTTTGTGTTTGTGTGTGTGATTGTTTTTAACCCCTAGAAGTAATTTCTGTGGTTTATAACTTCATAGTTACCCTTCTGTGTTTTAATACTAAGAAGTTGATAAATCATCTTGAGTTGTGTGGCAGTAACTTAGTCTAACCTCTTAAGAGTTAGTATGAAAATGAATTCTGAGGAAAAGAAAATTAAGTGTAATCAGAGAGGTAGGAGAGAGAGATAAAACCACTTATTTCTCAACATGGGTTATGAAACTGATGTAGGATCACCTGACTGCTCCATAGGTAATTCATTTAGTGAATTTCCTTCCTTGGGGAAGGAAAGTACAAAGCACAAGGTTTTTTGTGTTTTGGTTTTTTTTCTTTTTATTTTAATGCTGTTTTACAGCCCTTTTATCAGGGACTTAAGAAGTCACAGTCTGCTTCTGAAAAAGTGAACAGAATTTGGGTAAAACATGAAAATTACATGTTATTGTAACAGAAATTCTCATTAGTGTGAAATTTATTTGGGAGGATTACATGCCTTCATGCTGTCTTCTAACAACCTTAGCTAAAGAAGCACTGCCAAGTGATGTTGCATCATTTGCATGTCATTCTCTTGGGGCTTGCTAAGAAATTTCCTTTGCTTGAGAGATATCATGGCTTCTTTTTGCCTGGTGTAAACTATGCTGAGTTGATCTTACACTCAAGTAGTGCCTCATTGGAGTTTTTACCACTTAGCACTGAATTTCTAGTCTTCAGTGCCTGAAGTCCTTCATGTTCATTTCCAGGACTTAGTTCACTCTAAGTAGTGAACACTTAGTTCACACTATTCGACAAATCCCTGGGCCAGCTGACTTGTTTCTTCAGCAGTTAAGATATGTGTTTACTAAATATTTTTATTCATCTAAAGCAAACCTAAAGGAGTCTAGTTGTTTAAAACTGACATAGGGGTTTTGTACTTTATCAGCTACATTTGTAGCAATAATGCAAGGAAAGACATGAGGATTCAGACTGGGATTCTGTCCCTGGTGTGACGTCAGCTACTTGTATTTGCATTAAATCATTCCACAGTCAGGAAGAGATAAAGGAACATTCAGAATATTGATAACAGTAAAAAAATAAGCATTTATACCAGTGTAATGCCAATTACACTTATATTTAAAAAAAAATTAATAATTTTGTAGATTGACTATTCACAACCAAGTTAGCACAACACCACACTGAGTTATAAATACAGCTTTGAAGGAAATGGGAAAATCTGTTTGGAATATCCCAGTGATATACTAAGACTGCCTTTGCTGGAGCAGTTTATACCATTTGCAGTACTGTAATAATTTTGCTGGGTAATTAACCTGGAAAGGTATTTCAAATGCCCATGGTACCTGATCTGGTCACTAGTACTAGCTGCATTGCCAGATGGGTACATGTAATACCTTTTATTAAACATTTGTAGTTGGCTGATCTGCAGACTGATTTGTCATGCCTCTGGATTTTCCATTATCTAATTTTTCAGCAACTTTCGGCTTTACCATTTTGAACCATAAAACCCATGTATTTAGCTTCTTAAATCTGACTGTACACTCCAAGGTCTGCCATGAGAAACTCATGGGGTGAAGGGTAGGATAGGTCACCTCAAAAAGTGCCACTGGTAGTTCTCAAGGAGCCCTTGCTGCATGCTCTGGACAATACTGGAGATTTCCCCTTTGTTTGGGAGGGTTGTGGCTGGGAGTGACCTACCCTCAGGCTCTATTAGTATGTAAACCAACACGATGCAGTCAGTGTTGCAAGAGAGTCAGAGTAAGACAAACCAGCCAGATACTAAGTCTTTTCCTTACAACTAAGCAGATTTCTGTCTGGCATTTCCCTATTTACTAACATAGCTTGTTAGTACTCATGAATACAGGAGAGGCATATATAAACAGATGCCACAGGTAATTGCTGCTGTAAAGGAGACAGTTTCACCCTCAAGCAGCCCCTCAAGTAAGTAGTCAGAGGCTGCAGTCATGCCTAGCTCAGCAGAATAGCAACATATCTGTTTTGTCAGGTGTTTTAAGGAAATAAATATTTGTTTTATTATGATACTTTTCTGGTAGTCTTGGAGTTACAGTGCTGTAGTTCAGCATCTCTTTGCATCAGGGAAAGATTTGTGAACATGCCAGCTTGTTGTCCTCCTGATAAAATCAAGGGCTTGATGGATAGCATTATATTCCTTTCTTCCCTGCACTTCCATTCTTTAACACTGCACTTAGATAAAAAGAGGGCAGGACATGTGCCAGTGAAAGGGATGAGAAGTTAAAATCCTTTTTGGGAACCAGTCTGGCAAGGCCAGAGTAGTACTGAGTGAGCCATCACTGCTGCACTCACCAGCATCCATCTGAATTTCCAGGTAGCTCTGATGGAAGCCCACATGGTACAATAGTATTAATGATTCCTGCATTACAAGTTAATTATAAAAATAAAAAATTACAAAAGGTCTTTCATATAACATACCATGTAAAAGAGGACTGAATAAAAGGGTAAAACATGGTGCCAGTCTAGACTTTCCAGACAATGGATATGAGTCCGGTGCTTCTCCCAACACCTATTTCATATGACACTATATGGAAAAACAGCACAGAGGAGAGCTACCTGTAACGTATGGCTACATTAAATGCTATGTGCTAAGTCACAGTAGTAGAAGAGAGGTAAAGCCAGCCTGCACCAGGGCCTCCAGCTGCTTCTGGCCACTTACAACAGGCATGAGGTATTGAGTAGTGTTCTTGGTCAGGCTGGAACATCATCTCCAGTCTTCAAAGGTAGGTGCTAAAAACTTGCTGTCATTCAGCATTTCATCCTGGCTTAACAGCGTCTGAAAAGACAAGATGGAAAGGAGTGAGCATGTTCAGTTACAGAAAACCAGCTGTAATGAGATCAGGCTCACAACAGAGGGGGTTAGAACTGCATACAGTTAAAAGGAATTTCTTGAATATAGCTTTAAATACACTTTTTTGCTTAAGGAAATCCTTAGAGATTTTGTGTGTGGCATGCGACTCAACTACCTTATATATATTCATTATATCATTCAGTCCCTTATTTTTAGTTTTTAATAAATTAGTCTCCGTGGAGTGAGGAATTAATAATGGTGGGGGGGGATGTGTGTTTGTTTTCCATGGAGTTTTAGCTCGTACATTTTCAAGCTTGTACCTCATTCCTTGTCCTTCCTGGGACTGAGGCATTTGGTAGTGCATTTGTTTTCATTTAAGGGGATTAATATATGTCATTGTGTTAAAGAGATAGCAGAGTTCATGAAAACTTAAATAGGCCTAAGTGAAACTTAATTTCTAGAGCAATTTAAAAGGAGGGTTGTTTTTTACTAAATGCCCAACCAAGCTATTAGGAGGTATTTAACAAGAACAGTGACCCATTTACTCTTAACTACCACCATCAATGACCAACTTTCACTGAATTGTAGCAGACAGAACACATTTGTGACTTTTAAACAAGAGTGAAATGAGTACCTACCGTAAGCTGGCTTATGCCTTGAGAAAGAGCCCCTATTTGCATTACTGTGCCTTCTGAGTGTTCCATCTGTAAAAGCATTCAGGAACTAGTTCAAATCAAACAGCATGTGCAATTTTATTCACTCTACATGCATCTTTGGGAGATATCTGTGCCTGGACAAATGAAGTTGTGATAAGTTTAAAGGGTGACTTCTGCACATTAACAAAACTGCGTCCATGATACAAGGTACATGAAAATGCATTTAACAATAGGAAGGGTGAATCCTGGTTAAGAAAGACTGATTCCATGAAACTTGGACTCTGTTTCACAGAAGAAAAGAAAAAAATTAACTGATATTATCAATGAAAAGTAATATTTTCCAGATGGTCTAACACTGCTTATACTTCTGGTAGGCTTCTTTCACAGGCAAGAAGTAAAAGTCCTTATGATACAGTCCTACCTTGTTTTACATAAAAGCTTCCAGGGTGTTGTGATTTCACAGCATGACCACGTGCTCAGAATCATACTTAAGTGAAAGACCATGCTCCTAGAGAAAAATCCAGTATTTCTGTGATGCTTGAACAACTGCATAGTGCTAGTTCTTGGCTCAAAGTTAATGCATTCTGTCACAACTCCCAGCTGAACAAGTGGACATCAATACTAAGTCACAGGATTTGGCATTCTCCCTATTTAGGAACAGTACCTTATTTACTAAGGTGTACTTTAAAAAAGACAATGGTTAGATAATGAACACGAGATGTCAGATGCACTAAACCATGCAAATGAAAACAAATAACTTCACAGTTAGTCTTTTCAATGTTGTGAACATTCTCTTCTCAGGCTTAAAATGTTTTTATCCTACTGGAGAAAGGGTAGTTTACCCCAGCTGCCTCTCTCTGGCTCATGTGTGTTGCTAACGTTCACACAAGGCTCCAGGAGCTCCATTTTTCAGGGTTTATATCCCTTTACACAACATCAAAATATAAATAAAATTTGATGAGTTTTAGTCATCATCATTTGTCTTTATGATGTCTAGACAGTTTCATTCACAGGTTCACTACCACATAACAAAAGTGAATTATTTAAGTATTGGTTTATTAATAATCTTGTTCATTACTGATGCATTGTTTTTACATATGTCTAAGCAAAACTACTCCCCACTGTACACAGTGAAAGGAAAATTCACTTGGGTTCTCTGATTAATGTCTGTTTAAAAAGTACAATCCAGTTGTACTTTAATATAACTTGATAGCTTTGTACAAATTTGCCCAAATGAATTTATCACATTAAAAACCACCCATAAAGATAATGAAAAAAATAGTGTGCCATAGTGAGGTTCTGAAAGCTGGAAGTACAACAGTCTTCTGTTTACTGCAACCACCCCTCAACCGTTAAAATACATTGATCTTCGTAGTGTAAAGGTGTCATAGTCCTGAAAAAGGGCTTGAAGATTGAGGACTTTATGATGATGTTGATTAAAAAAAAAATAACCTGACATTCTTAGTAGAGAACTCTTTCCAGTGTCCACAGCCAGCACTTTCTCAGTAAGTTCATGCGGATGTAGCAAACAGGGTAATGTTTGGTTATTTGCATGCTTTGGAATGCATGGAGAGGATGAGATGAGAATGGCATCATTCTGTCTGTCCCACCTGATCCAGTTCCCTATCAGTGAAAGGACTAAGTCCTTTGTATCCACTGTAGTTTTTTGGAGTACCATTCGTAGCAGTTGGGTTTGTATCCATAGGGCAAATGTAGTCTGTTGATTCATCAAATTTCTTTTTCCTTAAGTTTCCAAAATGGGAAAATCCAAGTTTCTTTGGCTAGAATAAGAAGACAACACAAGTAGTTTTGAATAAGAGAAGTAAGGTTGTTCTCCTTTTGCATTTACTGCTATACCCTGGTCATTCAAGTACATAGATTCTGAACTAAATACATTTGTTTTCAAATTGGGAATGAAAGTTGATGTTAAATGCATTTACACTGTGTTCCTTCTAAGAAAAGACAGAACAGATTGCATGCCTTATTTCAGAAGCCCATTTAAACAGACACAAATGAAAAGCTTTGGTATCTAGATTCAAGGAAAATGTAATACTCCTTCTAGAACTGACCTCTCCCTGTCCACGTCAGTCCCTTATTTTCCTTATCAGACAGGGTAGAGAAGTCTGAAATTTCTCATTTTGACAGCAGTACATACCCGAACTTTGGCAGTGGTGGTCAGAGGTGTGTATGCTGCTGACTCCATTATTTCTCTTTTTTCTTGCTGTGCTTCAGGTCCAATTAATACATTAAAATTGGTGGTGAGGTGGCGGCGCAGGAGGGTCTTTTGAGGTGGGATATTCAGGAGCATGGCCAGCACGTCACCGTTGAAGCGAGGTTCGAGAATCTATTAAGAAGGCAGCATACTTATTTTTCATGTGGTTAAATATTTGCAATAGTAAACTATTGCAGTGCTTATCAGAGGATTTCTCACTCTTACTAAGCCATCTGTCCACATTGGAACTTTCACAGCTCACTCATGATACTAAGGTTGTTTGAATGGAAAATACATGAAAAGAGCAATAAGAAACAGTGAATGTGATCAGGCAAATACGCATTTATAATTTTTTGTTTGTTTTCAGAATTTTCTGCCCTACTCAGAGTATAAACTTAATCTTAGTACAATTTCTTCTATTTAATTTTTAAACAAAAATTCTACAGTAGTAAATCATGGTATTTCCGAACTCTGACTTTACTAAGCTGTAAATAGTTCTAAATTATTTGAATTGAAGAAATGTCATTCCTGGTTGCTGGCAAGAGTGCTATGAGTTCAGGATATTTATTTACCATCTCAGAATTCTGGTAAAACCACTCAAAGAAGCACTCCAGGATGCCTTATCAGTAAGTAACTTTCTCAAGGTACAGTTCAGGGTTTTTTATGTACAGTTGTCAAACACTTGTGCACACTCAGCTTTGACTATAAAAAATATTTTAGCTCTTCCTTTTTGATTTTAGTTTTCCTTTGAAAAATTAAGATGCATGGATCAGATAAAGAGGTTCCTTAGAAGGCCTGATCACAGATGCATTTGTTTCCTCCTGCTTGACGAACATCAGATAAAAGATTTGTTATATTCCAGCCTGTCAGTTTTTAGTAGATAGGTAGTAAAATGCTGAATTCTTACAATCAGGCCCCCGTGCACTCCGCTTCCTCGAAGGTTTGGTGCATATTCTGCCAGATCCACTGATCTGAGCCATTCCATCACTCTGTGATTGGACCACTGAACCACATCAGAAGGTGACACATTGTTCTGTCGAAGGAACCAGAAAAAGTGATCACACAACAGCCTGTGTTGTCTGAATGTGCACAATGTGCATCCTCAGTTCAGATAAAAACATCCTTCCTCCTCTTTCCTGCAGTTCTTCCCTGACTGAGGTATTGCTGCTGTTCAAGGCCTCTTTCAGCAGCCTCTAACAAGTTAGCAGGTCTAGTCTAGTACAGATGAAACCCCATGAATTGCATCAAGTAGGGGAAAAGTAGGAATTACAGTTATAAAAAGGGACCATTTTGAGAACAGTGTTACTGACACTTAATAGTAAGAGAATAAGATATGCTGATCAGGTAAGGCAAAAACCTTACAGATTTTGAGAGTTAAAAATTAGGACAGGCAAAGAAAAAACATTCCAGATTATTTCCTTGGAGGTTGAATTAGCTTCTTTAAACTATGCAAATAAGAAAAATGCATGAGGTTCAACTAATAAGTAGCTCAAACTCTTAAGGAGTACATAGATTTTTATTATCAGTGAGTACATGTTACATGTCAGAGCTGGAAGGCAGCATATCTGCTGCTTTAGGGGCAATTCCCTAGTAGCAATGATTCTTTTGGTATCATTGTACACTGCTAACTTTCTATCCCCTTTGGCTGGAACCAGGTACTTAGGGCTTGCTTAATTTAATTTATTTGGACATTCTTTTACCTCCTCAACCGGTCTCCTGCGTAGACAGTGGGGGTTAAAATTGTTGACATGCAGCACATGAATGGCACATTTAATACTCAGATGATGTAGCTGACTGGTGACTTTCAGAAAGAGAAGGTCATTCTGTGAAGGAGAGAGACTTTTAGGTAGCACAGAAAACACAGCAAAACAGGTCCTTTCCCCATGAAGAAAGATTTTTAACTTGCTGTGTAGTTTGATATAAATTACAGTACATGTGGGTTAGGTAAAATGAAAGTTTACACTCTAAAGAAGGGGTTTAGGGTGGAGGTTTTTGGGGGGGATGTTCCATTGTTGATTTTTTAAAAACACTACACCATAACAAGACCTGGCTAAAAAATGAAGACTGGAATGTAGCCTATTAAGTCAAATCCAGGCTCAAGGATAGTTTTAAAATATTTGGACTGTTTCTGACCTGGCTAACATCCTGCTGTGGGTAGGATCATCACAGCTACCAACACACCTAACCATGGAACAGTAGGGACTGTGCTGCTATAATAAGGGCTCCTTAAGCAGCATAGACAAGGCTGTACTTTTGATAACAGCTAAATTAGGCATTCCTTTCATAGCAGAGTTAACAAAAAAAACCAAAACCTCAAAAACTTAATTATCCAGACCTGGGCAGGGCAATGGGAAGAAAACACTGTGGCTGTATGTGGTACATGGTGTGCTGTGAATGTGGTTGGAGTTGTACAAATCACTGGATTTGCTGCTTTTAGTTTACTGAATGTTGTTTCTAATTTGGTGTGGAAAACAATGTGCTCCAGAAGTTACATGTGAAACAGGCCATTTTGCCTTTGATCATGGTATGATAGTGAAAGAAGGACTTTGCAGAAGTTGGTTGTAACATATGACTTATTTTATGTACCTTAGAAGAGTAATCATGCACTAGGCTGCACAAATTTCTGTCTTGCAAAAATTCTTTAGCTGCTCACATTCAAAGGGAAACTACAATTTTTCGCTCATTATGAAGTTAAATTTGGGTTAACTGAGGAAAAAGGATTGTAGCTTACCACAGTTAAGTACTGCAACATCCTCCCATCAACTCTGGATTCATGAAACTGGTCTTTGTACTGAGGTAAGCCAATATCATCAAGCCATCCTGCAGGTATGAGAGCAATGGGGAACCATAATCCAGATCAGTGAGAATGAAGCCCTTCTCCCCTTTTGTCTGGCCTGGTTTCTTTTGAGGCATTCAGGTAGCTTATTCCACCTATTCCCCTTTCCAAAGGACAGCCTCTTGCTAGTAACCTGAAAGCAATTCCCACCAAACAGCTTTGTCCATCCTACCCCTGTGATACTTGACATAAAGCATATGATGGAGCACACGCCTTCTGCAGCATAATGTAGCTCTTGTTGGATTGAGCATCCCCATTTACTTCCCAGCAATCTGACAGACTTCCCCATAGAAGATCATACTGTAAGCTGTATATTTGGATGTCAAGAAAAACACAAAAATCCTCAATTCTACTATGGTGAAACTTAGTGTTTTTAAAAGGTATTTGGTAACTGCTTAAACACATATCAGGCAGCCAATTTATAGCGGTGAGGAAAATTCCTTTCCAAACAATTCTGTGACAGTTCAAACACTTACGTGTCACCCAGATATGATCAAGTTGTGCAGACTTCTCATCTTGTTTTGCATTTATTGACTTAATGGCCAAAACTAATTTCTTCCTGTGCAGTGGATGCTTTATTCCCATTTCCTGCAACAATAACCATTATTAAAGATTTTGCCTTGCCTCTGGCTCTTTTGATCACTGAGGTACCTACAAAAATTGATACTATGCCTTTCAGAAAGGCAGAACTGCCAATTGTTTGAAGGGGCCTGGTTTTACTGAACAAACAGGTATGGTTGTTTGAGAAACAGGGACAGATTATTACCTTTTCCATGTCCTGAGGTGTGGCAGTTAACAGCGTGTGGCCCGACATCACCCACTGCCGTGCAAAAATGACGTACTGGCCGAGACCAAAGTCCTCAAGCCAGTTACAAACTCTCTCAGTGCTCCACTGAGCAAATGGAGCATTGCAGTCACTGGAAAGTACAAGAAACGTTGGGAAAATCTTAAAGAAAAGAATGAATGTTTGAATTGGAAAGCTCATCATGTGCCAGAGGCAGCACTGCAGCAAACCTGTCAGTGTGCTGTGCCCTGTGCAGTAAGAAAAGCCAACAACCCCTCTGGCATTAGGTGCTGTGGTACCAGCATCCTGTTACTTTGACTGCCCAGCCACAACTGGTAAGTAGTTGGGGGTGTGGATAAGAATTTCCCATTTTCTATTTGAAAAGAGGAAAAAGGGAATTGCTGAATCCTCATCATTATGCCCATGTTCTCACAGGATAAGTCTCCTTGTTCTGTAACAAGGTGAAATTTTTGACACTCCACCAAGCAGTGAGTGCAGCAATCTGCAGCTGCAGGAGTGTAGACAGGGGAGCTTCTCAGGATACATTTGCTACCATAGAAATTCTTGCCACTTGTGAAATTCCATGTGTAGTGAAAAATGCATTTCACAAGAGGAAGGTTTGGCTGTTCAGCACATATAACAACCCCACAATGTGCTGTGTAAGGTGAAGAAGGAGTCATTACCTCTTTTGGCCTTTGGTGTCCTTGGACCGGGATAACCGAGGCCCAGCTGTAGCACGGAGACCACCTCTTCGGAACTCTGCCAACCCCAGGTCGTCTGCAGGGAAGTTACCTGACTGAGTTCTTCTTATTCTTGCAAGACAAGAGTGCCATGACAGTACTATTAGCTTGTGATAGAGGACATGGGTTTCTACGGAAACTACTAGAAGCTGTATTAACCTTCCTGTAAACCACAAATGCCAAATTCCAGTGGTAGCTAAAGAAGTTCCAGCAAATTCAGTCTAGACCTAATCCTGGGGAAAAAAAAGAGCTCCACAGAGAAGCCATAATCCTTCAGTCCAATTAATAATGCAGACTTGGAAATGGCTGATGTTTCTGAAGTGGCTCAAGTGAGGACAGCACAACTCAGTCCCCTTGCTTTTTGTTCCTTCTGTTTTCTCTCATTTTTTCACCTGATGCCTTCTGTAATAAACAACCTACTGTCATTTAATTTTTCATGGCTAATGAAATTGCTAGCATGCTAAATTAATAGCATTAAGATGACAGCAGTGCTATATTTCTTTCAGCAGCATGACACTGGGAACACTCTCATCCGTTTTTCTACACCCCTATGTACATAGAGACACACCCGTGCAATCCCAGAGCTGCTTTCTCTCCTTCTCTGGAATTTTAGTTTATTCTTGAGAGTAGCTTTTGCAGGGAATTGGTTTAATTCTCAGCTGAAATGCTGTGACAGTGAATTGAAAAAATGACCTTACTTTCCCCAGATTTTCTTGATCCCTTTTGGACTCTTTCTGTTTTCTGGAGACCATGGAGACTGCAGACCTGAATCGGTTCCCGAAGAAAGAGGTGAAAGGTCATCTGAGACTACTGTACCATCCATGTTCTCTGTTTCTCCTGGGTTAAGAACAGCATTAGAGTCACATTTTATACTAATTATTAATAAAGTTTTTGTCTGGGAGACTGATATATAAATGCATACCATAATAAAAAGGTACAGATACCTATAAAATTGTTCTTGTATCAAAAAAATCCCAAAACATGCTCAGAAGGTGAAAACAACAGTAGCTGTACATTTGATACAAAAAAAGAAAATAATAAAACATTCAGTAAAATAGTATTGTTATTTCAGTCATTTGTATTTAACTACATTATTTTAATTCATTTAAGGTCTTCAGACTTTTGCCCTGCCTGCCCATTAATACCATAACTCCTCCATCACAATCAGCGAGAAGTTTTCTGACTTCAGTGAAAACAGAATGAAACTAGGAATAAATGTCTTTGAAAGAAATCCCATCTGAATGCCAATACAGCAAAGGCTGTTACTTCATTTCAGTACTGCACATAAGGAATTCAAACTGGATGGCCACTGGGTGTTAGCATTTCATAGAGAAAGGGAGGGGAAAAAAAGAAAAAGAAAAAGTAAGCAGCAAAACTCGTGTTAAAGGTGCATCTTTTTTGGATACAGTACCTAGCACTGGTGCACTGACACTCCTGATGCGATCTTCAGTCATCCCAAGAAGCAGAAAGCCAGATGAAGAAGCGAAGAAGATATAAAACACCAGCAAAATAAAGTTACAGAAGAGCAAAGTAGTAAGCTAAGCATTAAAAGCAGGAACAAAAAGAAAAGAAGCAGTTATGCTTGACATGAAAGTGAATATGCACTGGTGTGCACAAGCCCGAAGAATTCTGTACAGATCATCCTGAATAGATAGGGATGATCGATTATCTGTTTTGGGTTTTGGTTTTGTTTTTTTTTTTTAATTTGCCAGTTTAAACACATTAAGCATATACTACAGAGTTCCACAAAGCCTGCAGAGTATCTGAAATGAAGCAATGTCTAAGATTACATCAAACTCCTCTGAAATACAGAATTGGAAGTGGACTGAGTTTACTGCACAAGAAACAAACCAGTCTGCACAAAAAATTCTCTTTAACTCAGTGTATTTAAGAAGCCATTGCTTGTTGCTAGAAAAAGAACAATTTCCTTTATAAGCTCACCTCATGACTATTAAACTGTAGAAATACCGCAGAATCACAAGGGATACTCTCATGTCTGAGCTTCCCAAGCTCTTTAATCCTTGGGAAATAGCTAGTTCTGTGCCTCACTGTAATACTTTTTGTCAATAAATCTGTGCTTAAGGTGTCACTGAAAAGGAATTATTACAGGCTTCTACAGGACCATGGTTGTGGAATAACAATACATTTGTAGTTCCAAAATCCACGGGTGTTTTTCTGTATGTAGCAAGTTAAATTTTTTTCACTTGTGGATCCCCACAAGCTACAGTGACCAACAGTGCTGAATAAAAGGATTTTCATTTGAAATGTGCATGTTAGTGCTAGTTGTACTGTAAAGTTTCACCCACTAAAATGCAGTGGAATGGCAAGGATTCGGTTTGTTTGTTTTATTTAATACCCCAATCTAGTGGATGTTTTTAAAAGCATTGATGATGTATTTGGCTGTGCATTTTTGTTTGTTTGCTTTTTTTTTTTAAGAGAACAGATGAGTAAGCTCCAAACATGGAAGCAAGTTTGGAAAAAATACTGCTTGTTCATACTGAGAATATGTCTGCCTCTCTAAAAGTTCTGATTTTTAATTAGAGATTTATTGACTTTCAGAAGGCCCTCTCCCACAGCGTCCAAAACCCTGTCTTTTCATTTCTTAACCTGTCAATGATTTCAGCAAATTGTATTGTCAAGTGCAACAGAAAAGAACTCTGCAACTTAAAGCCATCCTTTACTCTCCACTGAGCTAATTTTTGTTACATTGTTTAAAAAAAAAGTAGTAAAATGTTCCCTAACTGAATCATGGGAACAACACCATTGTTCTGGCATAGCCGATTATATCGAATGCTCTGTCCCAATCCCTCAAACACTTTGCTTTCTCCCCTCCCCATAACCCTCTCAGAGAAGTGTGGGTACATACTCAGGCCCGGGACGCCGTTTTCCTCACTGTCATTCATCCCACATCCATCTGGAGAGTGATATGTTCCCTGCTCTCCATTCTGCAAGGGTCGGGGCATCTTTCCTGGCAAAGTTTGGTACTTGCTGCCCTTCACAACTGGCTTACTCTGTTTTTTTTCAAAGAGGAAAAAATAAAATAAATTAAAAAAATAAAATCACTTGCAGCATTTGCAACCCAGAACACAACGTTTTCAAAGTTGGGAAAAAGTACTTTAAGTTCATGGTTCAAAATGACTCTACTCTCTCCCTGTTCCTGCTTACATATAACTCAATTTAAACCCAACAGTCAGCTGACAGTTTTCTAGTTAAGACACAGCCTTGTCTTCCCTTGCTCCTCCCACTCTAGCCAGACTCTATATTACATTAAAATATATGTTGAATATTACCTGTCATAAGAACTTTTCTAACTGCCTTCTCCTCTAGGACCTTGGCACTCTGTAACTTGGTCCTTACAAGGTCAACTTTAATAGTACCAAAAATGCATTTGGCTACTTCTCAGACTGTTTTTTGTTCTGTCAACTTTTCCTCCTTTATTTTTCACCAGTATCTCCGATTCTGCCTCACAATTTTATCTTGCTGGAATTTGAACCCGAAGTATTTATACATGTCAAATTTTCTCAAATGTATTTCCCACCATCATTAATAACAGTAAAGGAATCAACATCAAAGTTAGGGTACAGAAATTGTGTTGAGATCCCTTTGCACAGCCAAAATTACAAATGCAAGGGTTTTTTTAAAAAAAGTAATTATAGCTAAACATACAGTTTACTATCATTGCCAATTCTATTACAGAACCTAAGCACAAGGTATACTTTTGATAGATGCTGGGGAAAAAGCATAGACTGAGCTGTATTTTAGGGCTGACTCCACAAGTTTTGTTCACATCAGGCTAAAACAGGAGTCTTCAGTGTGCTCTTCTGCACACATGGTACACATTCCGTGTCACAGGCATCACAGCCCCCAAGCAGTGGTCCTCAAAGTTTCTCTGTATTGTACTGATAGGGAAATGGTACCTAGGCTTTGCTAAAAATAGGGTATCTCTTAATTTTCCTTTCATTCAAGTGATCATCTACTTGGGGATCTTGCTCCTTGTACAAGGGTAGATGAGAACATGCCTAATAAATCTGATAGTTTTGAGCCTAAGAAGATACTTCTCCAGGCAAAGTATGTGTTTCACAGAGGTAGTTGTCTACAGTTTTGGAAATACAATGTTGAGACTTCTTGAATACTGACTCCAAATGAAAAGATAGATGATCCATCACTCTGGGAAAAAAGGTATACCCCAAAACTGTCAAAACAGAGGGACAGAGACGCTTTTTGAGAAAACCTGCAACTCCAATTGACATTAATGGGAGTGGTGTACATTCAGTATGTCTTTTGGAATAAACCAGTCAATGTTTCAGTAGCAGAATGAAGGTTTTGTAGGAAAACTTTATACTGAAAATATGCAAACCATATTTAATATACAAAGACATACAGTATGCAACTATCTAGTAACTCCATTCTAATAAAATTGTTTTAAAACATTGTCTGGGCCAGGATGAGACATTAAATATTTAATGAGATAACCACTGTTTCAATCTATTCTTATTTCAAGGTCTAGAGGGATCTTTGGATACTACAACTGCAGGCCAGATTGCTCAGTTCAACTCCTGCTCCTTTTTGGCAGCTACAGGAGCACATCCCAACTTGTACCAAAATTTGTATGAGTAGAAAAATTGCTTCTTACATCAGCACTGTATTTTCTGAAACCAACTGACTTCAGCTTCTAACCTCATACAACAACAACTTCTAGATAAAAAGAAAAAAGAAAAAGATTTCCCTCTCAAATCTTTACCCCTGTTCTCAGAGTTTGTCAGCACTGAAACTATGCAAACGTTTTAAAAAAGAAAAAGAACCTAAAATGAAAACCCAGCCATACTATCACAGCACATCACAACAGAGAATTGTTAGGAAAAGCTGCAGTTAATATACCTCTTGTTCTACAACAGGTTGTGCTGGTTTTCCATCTACATACTACGGAGTTTCAGGGAGGAAAATTTCAAAGTTTTATGGAAAAAAGCAACAGACAAATGTTAGTATTAACATACGTACATAGAACATCAATTGTAGTCTTATTATTATAGTGATGCTGCTTAATGTATGGACAATACATTACAAGGACTGTTGTCATTTCATTTCAATCCAATATTTAATACCAATTGTGTTTGCTCATTCTCCACTCTACAACATTTGGGCTCTGTTTAGGTTCTGCTGTGATCAAAGGAATTTTGCTATTTTCAGGCTTCTAGGTGGTCCCTGTAGACTTACTTTAAGCTGGGAACATAACAGCTGTTTTACAGTTAGAACAGTATGAAAATGACTGACATAAAATAACATACAACAATACTGTAGGTACCCGGTTGAAATCAAAAAGAGCTGTGGTAGAAGTGAAGTGATAAAAACATCAGTGTGGCTAAGTCAGGGACACCAGTGTGGTTTGCTATTTTATTATTATTATTATTATTATTATTATTATTATTGCTGGAAGGAAATGGAATTTAAGCTTTATGCAAGGCAGAATAGCTCCAGTAAGCAGTGCTGCTAGCACAGGTTCTCTCAGAATTGATGCAAAAACAGTCTGTCATGCTGAGTGAGCAAAACAGGTTTTCTTGGTCTTAGTTTTGGTGGTAACATTCACATTTAGCCACTCACTCATATGCACAGGGAGGCATCTTTCACCAGGAGGCCTCATGCCTAAATTAGGGCACACAATTTAAATGCCTTGCTGAACATGGGGCTGGCTTGCTACAACTCTCTCATATCCTTGGTAGGTTTGTCTTTCTCTGAGGGCTCTGATTTCATGGATAGAGCAAATTTACAGCATAAACATGTAGGTACAGCCCAATCACAGTATATCACAGAGAGAAATTAAGATTTTGAATTGAAGTTATGAAAACAGATCTTCATAAATTCTTCATGGAATGAAATGCTAGTTCTGATTTGTCACATATGTGTATGACCACAATCAAATGAGTGCAACACAAATTTCACATGTTCTAATTGTTCACTGTCATCATCAGTGATTTAAGAAAAAATTTTTAAAAATTTAAGAACTGGAGCAATCATATTACCAGTATCAGTTTTAAATTACATTACTAGGTGTAAGTAACCTAGTATTAAGCCTAATTTTGAGTACAGAAAGCATCAATAACAGTCTCACAAAGCATAATCACAAGTGCAGAACAATGTCAGTACATAATGACAACACAAGACTCTAGACCACAATGTAATGAGACTTTGCAAATTGGGTAGTCTTTATTCTGGAATGGAATTAAAGTCTTTCAAGTAGTAACAGTGCTCCTGCTGTTTTAACTACCATCTTCAGAAATACCATTTATATCAGAAGTCTAAGGGAGCAACACTCATAGTTACATGCAAACACTTAAAAGGAATCCTATGTGCAAATGTCCATCCTTTCACGATTTCCTGCCTTAACATTTTTAGTGATTTGGAAGTAAAACTTATTTTAAACACACCTATAAACAAAATAATACTGCAGTTTTATCATCAGGGCTTTTTCCCCACATACAGTGTCAGAGGTGGTTAAAGTTATTTTATGTGAAATAACCCAAAAATTTATACTTGACCCTTGTCTTTTAGTTGTGATAATAAAGACCAGAAACTGTGATTACAAATAAACGAACCTTCTCCATGGATTCACTCTGCAAGTCTTCTAAACTACTTGACTTTTTTTCCTGTGGAACCCTTAAAAAAGTGACAGGGGAAAAAAGCAGCAGTTAATACAATGTAGCATGTTTGTATATGCCACAGGTGTCTCCTATGACAGCTGTACAGATCACACAATGTCTGCATATAACAAATAATTCAGAATTGAGAGATTAATTTATTTTTTGTTATATTTTTAGTCTAAAAATCATAGTATTAGAAACTGCAGTAGATGAAATCAGGAACAGCAACAAGACATCCTATAATCAGTAGTGAAAGACAACAAGGTCCAATGTGCAGCTTTAAACCTTGTACCTACACATGACTTTTTAGAAGCTCTTAATAAGCAAAAGTACAGGGCAATAACTCACTGTGAGCAATGTGGACACATTAAGGGATTTTAAAAAGGAAAAATGTTTCCCATTTCAAAGTTACCCATTCTTACCTATATATGATTTCCAAAGATTCTTCTTGTGGAGAGGTCAAATTAGTCGAAGATACTGAAATGCTTCCACTTTAAATAGAAATAAATTTCATACCTTTAAGTACTGCAGTAAATGTATCTTCCGATATATAAAAGTCCTTAATTCAAACCTTACAGAACTAAGCGCTGCAAACCTCCCTGGCAAATGCTGCTTTCGCAAGTACCCAAAAGCACAGCAAAGCTAAGAACAGTCAAGACAAGATGCCAACAGTTAAACAGTCTAAATAATACAGATTTAGGACAACCCACGAGAAAGAAAGGTCTTGCCTGATTTCCATAGCTTTGTGTGGCACTGGAGGGAGCACAGCTTGTGACAATTCTCCTGAAGAGGCCTATGTAAAAGACAAGAGTTTCAAGCCTGTAATTCTGGTGTCTGATGCTGAATCTACCATGCCCATACCAAGAAGTACAAAAATGCAGCCAGGGCCAAACCCTCATCTACATTACTACGGAGAAGCCAACACCAAAAGATCATATATACAGCAGAACTCGCTTCTAATAACATCTTTATTAAGTACCTCTGTTTTTAGTAATTCTCCTTGAGAATTATCCAAAAGATTCCACTTCCTTAAAGTTACCTCAGCTTCCTCTTCACTGCCACCAGAGACAGAAGAGCCTGTAAGCATTAAAGAGTAAAGGTAGAAAGGGAGAGAAGTAGGCAAAAAAAAAAAATTTAGGCCCATATCAGACAGCCTAAAGTCTTCACTCTCTAAATTCCCCTTCAGTCTGTCTTTGTAATTCACCACCCTCTCTGCTCCCTGCCCCTCCTTTGGGCTCTGATTTACCAGTAAAATGATTTATATTACAGCAACAGATTTATCACTTTCAGTTGTACGCTTTGCTCTGCTGTGAGCAGCTGAGCTGCTCATCAGGCAGTTTCTGAACGACTTGTAATTCATAGTTTGATGTTCTGGGGCAAGTTGAAGTTGGTACCATTTTCTTACTTGCCATCGATCACAGTGTGGACAATCTCACTGTACCCTGTAGGTCCTACACAGGTTTGTATTTGGTTTATTTTGTTTTTTATTTACACTGCAGTGTAAAATGTCTGTGCTGGTGTAAATTAAGACCACATAATCTCAGTGGTACCAACTCAATAATTCAGAGCACCATGGGTGTTCATGTACACAAGTGGCCTCCAAAAAACATGTCTCTCAGGGGGATAGTGCACTCGGATCTGTGCAACCAAGATGTGGCCAAGGACAGTGGACAAAAGCTACAATCACGTGTTTGGATTTACTTTCAGAACACTTTCAAGTGAGATATTTTTTTTTAATGAACATTCAGAGAGAGATTTACCTGATTGTGTTAAATACAAGTCTCCATTCTGCCACAGAAGGCCTGAAAATGTGTTTGTTAATGTGATGATCTGCATTGAACGAAACTTTCAGTTTCCCAGACTAAATTCACTACTGGAAGGTATGGTGGCAGCTTAAAATAAGATTGTCCTAAACCCCACTCTGCTTCCTGCAGCACAACTGAAAAATAGGACAAAGGTCTTTCTGTAGATTTTAAAGTAAAATATATAAATATTGTGTGCACCAAAGCAACCGTGGGTTTTCAGTTGTTTCTTCCAAAAAAAACTTGCCTAATCAGCTGTCAGGATTTTTTTTTTTTTTAGTGGAAGGGGAGGGTAACAGAACTTACTAGATTTCTTGCAACTTGTTGTAGCAAGAAAATAATAAAAGTCCTCCTAACAGTATCAAATTGCACCTGAGATCAGCTTTCCTTTTATGAATGCCATATAAAAAACATGACATAAAACATTACCACTAGTTGGTTGGCAGATGAGCATTACTGCCATTCCTGAATTGAACTGTGGTTTAGGAAATCTGAATACAGGATGTATTTAATCAATTAATGTTCATAAAGGTCTCCTGATATCATTTCACACTGTAAAAACTGGCTACTCGTAACATAACAGGAAACACCACATAAGCTTAATACCTATCTGTATACCTTATTCATCTCTTACAGATGAATTGGTTTAAATCAAATAATGTCATTTTAATTCTGAGTAATAGATTTTTGAGAGGGATATAATGTCTTTTTTGTACTGCCCACTGCATAGGGAACAAAAAGGTAAACTCCACAAACTACAGGCAATAACAAAAGTCTGTTCAAGACACACTCTCTGTATCTGAAAAAGTGCATACTTACTCTCATAGCACTCCAACGTGATACAAAGACATGCATAATAAAATATATATTACTATATACATATATTTAAAAAGACAGCAAATAGCAGTTATAGTGCATGCAGTTTTTAAAAGCCCTGATATCACTTAATAATCCACAAGACATTTTACCATGAGCTGCAATCATGATCTCTTTGACCCTCCTGTACTGGCTTAGCAACAGCGTTAGCTCCTCTATTCGACGGTCCTGTGAAAAACATTAAATAAGATCATAGTTAAAATCCTACATTTTTAACCTGCAGAAACACTGTACTAAATTTCTGTGATTTACATGAAAGCAGGATCAAATCTCTCCCAAGCCCTGTAAGGAATGTTTCTTGGCTTTTATTTGTCATTGTACATAGTATTTGCTAGACAGCGTGAAAATATGGATATAAGGAAACAAGAGGAGTTCTACATTACTAGCAAATTAGTTATTTAGAGAAGCATAATTTGGAAACCTGCTTTCACTTCTAAGAGTGATGGCATTATTCTGGAGTTGAACCTCGATTGCCTGAAGTGGGCAGTGTTTTATCATACCTGTCAAGATAAAGGGAATCATGTTTATCTTTTATATAGTTTAACAATCTATAGTCACGCTCTTTAATCTTGTGTGTAGGATCTTTCTCCATTCTTACAGCTGCACTTACTCCAGTTTTGAACACACCTGTTTGTGTCAAACCCACACAGGACCAAAGAAATGAGGTCTTGTGAATGTCTGATGCATTTTCTCACTCCACTCTTTCTCCAGAACCTAATGCTTTCCTATTATATGCAGAAAGCATCTTGATCCATGTATTCAAGGAGGGCACCTGCCTTTTGCACTCTCACAGTTTGTCCTGTTTCTTTAACCCCAGTTCTCTATGATAATTCTGTCCAGTGCTATGACTACAGAGCACCGAATACAAACCCAAGTAAGAATAAAGAACTAGTTTTCACAAGCAGGTGTCAGGAAAGCCACAGAAACAAAGAAGTGGGTCCTGGAGAAGGAAAATTTTTCCAGGGAAGTTGACAAGTATTTAAGGAATTATCTGACACTGAGCTACTGCCCTGCCACAGCTGTGTCAGTGTCAGAGGTATTTAAATTAAAACCTGCTCTGGCACACATATGCTACATTACAGCCACAGCAGATACACACCAAGGTAGAGGAGTAACTGCACAAAAGCCAGATCTTTACCACTTTACAAAACAGCAGATGATGCTGATCCTCCCTTCACCCTCAGCAAAGCATGATGAAAAGGAGGCCTTAACTAGATATCCTGTTATCCCAGCCATGGATGGAAGTAGCAGGTTCCTATTCATAGCAAGATCTGAGACTAACATATCCAGTTTTTAAAAAACAGAAATATGTGCACCACTTACTACCAACTTAGTTCAGCACTTTCTGTCCTAAGTGACACAGGGAATATTTAGAGTTATCCCAAAAGCTATTCTGAAGTCCTTTCTCTCAGGAAGAATATTTTATTTTGCAATATTATTGAAGGCAGCAGTTCCACATGAAACACTTAAGGAGCTGGAGGTCAGCCATCAGTCTACTAGTTTAAACACTACAGTTTTCAAGGAAATAACCTGCCTTCCTCTGTGAGTACATCCAGATGTTAGGACATAAGCAACAATATTTTGTGTTCCCTTCAAATACAAAAACACCTTATGCAGACTTGGCATAATTTTGTCAAGAGATAATGACAGATTTTTTATTTTCCAAATGTAAATTTTGGCTTTTTAGGCATTTTTGATAACTAATTATTGTTATGAGCCACATTAGTGTTCTCCAGAATTCATGTTGCCCTGTCTGGACTACCCACTTACTAAAGGAAGATTTTAAGGATGCATATTATTGTCTATTTAACTGTAGAGGAGAGTGTCACCATAAAGGAAAATTTTATGGCTTGATTTATTACCATAAAAACTACAATCTGTTGAAGAATGAATCCCCCATTTAAATAGATTTAATTCCACTCCTTCTCCTTTAGTGCCCTTTTTTCTTTCTTACTCCTATTTATTTACATCCTATTCCCTTTCTCCCCAAATCTGAGTCTGCATCAGAGGTCACTTTGACTTTCTTTTAATATCACAATCTAAATTGGGTTTAGTTGCACTTTGGGTTAGGTTAGGAAGATAAAGAGCTGCCAGAGATGAACAAACCTTAGGGATCTTTTCAGTAGCAGAAAACAGGATATTCTGCTCATTACAGCCTTGGCTTTGTCCTCCCCTCTGGAATCTAATGAGCCTCCCAAATGCTGCAGCCAGGTTAGCAAAGTCAGCCACACTTTTAAACATCAGTATTCTGTCACAACCTCATAGGATAATACAAACATTCCAACAACACCACTCTTACAGAAAGTGCGTTTTCAGAACATTTCAGAGATTCAAACCCACAATTTCATTCTTACTGTGTAGAATGAGGTTTTTTTTTTTCTCACCTTTTCTTCATTTGCAGCCAATAGTGATTCCATTCCTATCTTCAGTCGCTGAACTTCTTGATCTAAAAATGTTTTTAAAATATTATAAGAAAAAACCCTCTTGCTATATTTAGTGTAAACAAGTATTTTGTGATACTCTCCCTATGTTCTTATAAGTAACCAAAACCATATCCATGGTAGGGCCAGTGCACTAATAAACTACATTTAACTTAGAATTTTTCAAAAGCTGAACTATTTAAAGCAATATAAACATCCTGGTTTTGCTTACAAAAGGCTACATAATACTATTTTAAACTATGAAAGGAAAGCACTGGAAAAAAAAGGAAACACTGAAGCTCATTTTGCAAAAGATTAGAGCGTGTTTGTTGTTATATACTTAAGGAAGTAATTAAGTGGGATTGAAAATGAGTTATATTGCATCTGAGAAAAATATTTGGCAGTTTATGAGAAGTAGTTCAAGGACATTCATGGAACTTGGAAATGAATAACAAAAAACTGGTTTGATACAAGGAAAATTTGTAGAATATTTTTTCTTAAACATTTCAGTATGAATAACTAGGTTAAAATCTACATCATGAGCTAATACAGAGTTGCCTCACACGCAATTCAGTGTTACATGATAAAGGTTATTCAGGAATGTTATAGTCAAATCAATCAAAACACACTCTGAAAATGTGTGAAGTTGTAAATTCTGAACCAAATCTTAACTTTGCTGAACCAAATCTTTCATTTCTTTTCTAGACACTATTCCTAGCAAGTCCTTCAGTACCAACCTATACAGAATCAAGTGTAAGTGATGGAGACAGAACCTGAAATGGTTTATCTGTTCTAACTACCACTCCAGGGATTCATGCTTTGACATTAAACCAGACCCACTTGTTCACAAAAGACTATGAAAACAGATGTGTCAGGCATGATGTGAGAGGGGAAAGAAAATCAATATTGCTAAAGAGTATCTGTAAAAAAAATAATGTTTTACACCTAAATGTTGAACATACAATGTCATGGCTAAACTATTTGCAAAAGTTGTAATTAGTTTTTATTGCAGTGATTCTAGAAAATGCACACCTCGCAATGATTAAGTTTTAGGACATGTAAATGAATCTTGCAGATATTTCTCTTGCAGAAGAGAACACTTAATAACACAGGGCATGCACAGACACAGCCAAATCAGAAACTAAAGCCAGTAGGCAGTGGGCAAGCAACTGAAAGACTTTTAAAAATACCACAGTCCTGCTAATTTCTTGTTATAAATATTAGACTTCAAAGAAGACAGGTATCAAGGTAGTTTTAAGCACTTTAAAGCAAACTTCATTTACAATATTTGTTTAACAACATCAACTGTGGAAATATTTATTCAGACTTTTTTTTTTTTAATTTACTGCACTGATTTAAGACAAAAACCCACCAAAATCCTTCCCTTCCAAGGAAGACGACCTTCATTTAAAGCCATCTTCCTTGATATTATGTGGGGTTTACATATGTGCAAACCGAAAGAGGTAAAGGTTAAGCTTTGGCTCTGTTAACCTTGACATCTTCCCTTTGAAGTCCAATGATCTGATTTGTGAACCTCTGACTTTTATTTCTGAAGTGAAATCTTACTGAATAGGGCAAGTAGCTGTCTGCTTGTTGCAAGCAATGAAAGCAGTGCCTCATGTATATTACAATTAGACAGCCCAATCCAAACAAACACTGAATTACTGCTGCAGAATGCATCAGAGTTATAACTGGTGTGAAAAGAACAGTGAAGTAAAGCCAAAAGTGAATTGCAAGGCTTACGTTTTTCTTTTAGCCTTCTCCTATAAACTTCCTCTACGATGGGAAATGGTGAGAGTCAAATAAAGTATGTAGAAAAAGCACATATTAGATAAATTTTGCATTTTACTTAGAATATGCATTCTAGCATACTACAAGTACATTGACATTATTTTACAACTTTGAGAAGACCACCTAAAAATCTGATAAATCAGTAATTTTTTTTTTTTGCAGAAGAATTATTACTGTTTCCATTCAAATACAGTCTAAGTGCTTTCCTTGAACATAGTCCAAAGAATCCACAGGATTTGGTTCTTCTGTCACTGAAATCAAGGAGTTTCACCCACCTTCAGTGTGAACAGAACAGACACAGTACCAGAAGCTGAATGGTGCTGAGCTCTTGATTTATTGTGATACCACTACTTTTCCTTTGAAATACCATAAATTATTTGGGAACCTCATAGGAAACAACATTCTATTAGTAGAAGAGTTCCGCCACAAACCACTGCTGTTAGACAAATGAACTTTCTAGTTAGACATGCAGTGCTCTACATGCACGAGCTTTGCAGCTGAGTGAAATTAGCACAAGTATATGTTAAGTCCCTTCCTTGGAATAAATCACAGAAGACTCTGGGTAAGCCCTGAGAAAGATGTAGCACAGCACCTGAAAATTCACATCTCAACCAGAGAAGCCTTCAGAAGGGTTAGTTAACACCCACAAAAGAAGTTAGTGCAAGTAAGCTGATGCACTGTGGTAAACTACACACAAACATTCCTGCATGGAAAAGTGTCAGTGCTGCAGAAGAACAAGGTCACTAAAACCACATTTCATGGCCCAGCAAGGGACAGAGGTCCCAGGGAGTCAATATTTCAGAGAACTGTGACATGACTGGTTGAGACTAAAGGCTAAACAAACTGGTTTATTTGCCATTGTCCTGTATGAAAAGTGCACTCTTAAAACAGAAACCTGCAATATCATAGAATCCTAGAACAGCCCAGGTTGGGAGAGACACAAAATCCACCTGATCCAACCTTTCATGGGACAGGCACCCTAAAAGAGACATACTCCTGAAGAAAGGAATGAATGACTGTTTTGAGATCATTGGACATTTAAACATTATGCTTAGCTACTACTGTGACCTTTATTTTTTCCTGAAAAAATAGAAACTGTAAGATTTCTCAGAGAAATTTTCAAGGCATACACAAGAAATAAATTCCTATTGAACTACAATGACACTTTACAATTATCAATAAAATACCAATAGAAAAAGTTTCAGTGCCTTAAGGATACTTATTTCAATTTGTGCTGCCTCTAGATTGGAATAGAATTTCACATATTGAAGGCCTCAACTGTACCAGAACACAGAATGGATTTACACCATTTTACCTCCCAAAATAAATTCTGTAAGTCCACTCTTGTATCTCTTTGTATTCCTTTGAATAAATCCTCAGCCAAGCTGCTACTGAAGTGAAGTTAAAGTATGGTTTTGGATTTTTAATATTATTTCCTCTCCTCTTACCTCTTTCTGCCACTTCACTGTATGATGAGGTCCTAGAGAGTTGACTTTGCAGGCGTTCTATCTCTGCATCTTTGAGAGCTAATTGCTCTTGAAGCTGGGCTATCTCGGCCTGTGAAAGAGAGCACAGCAAATTCAGAGTAACATCATCACCAATCCTCTATGACTCTTTCCTATGAACTAGAAGACACTTTGATGTCTGTTACCAACTCAGGACATTTCATAAACATCGTAACAACTATACATATGTATGGATGTATTTATACATTATCCTATTCCTATTACAGAAACTCCTTTTTCCAATGCAATTAGCTTTTGGAGAAGACAGGTTTAGCAAAAGGTACCATTTTTAAGGATTCATGCAGGCAAGGAAACTCTGTAAAGTCCTCAATGCTAAAATCCTGGTTGTAAAACAATAATGACCATTACAGGCCAACTCCTGAGCTTTGCATGAAGACCACTAAAAGATAACAAATTTGGCATTTTTAAACAGATACTGTTTTTTTTAGTTAATCCTAGTTACTATCTATTAGTATAACTGAGAATCTATTAATGCTGAGCCTTCTTCTCAGCAGGATAACAAAACTATTCTTCCTCACAACAGCAAACAGGCTAGAAGGAAAGCATGGCCTGGAAAACAACCACATATATGCAACAAAATGCCAGTGTTCATTTACATTTAGTGCAATTTGTGTTGCCACTAGACTGAATAGAAAATCACACATTAAAGACCTCAACAATACAGAGGGAGAAGAATTCTGTGATTGTCCAGCTTGAAATACAGCAACTCTCACCTACTTTTCCTATTTATGAGAAAAAACTGCCAACAGCATACTTTACTATGTCAGCAGTTTGTAAAGATTTTCTTCAGAGGCCTTAAAGCTTTCACTTACAAACATTCTGAATTTACCCAGCAAAAGCATACCAAACCTCCTTGCAATTAAAGAATAAAAAAGGGGGGAAAAAGAAAGTAAAAAAGGAAAGAGCAATGACAAAAAAAAAAAATCACTAATGTGACTAGTTTCTCAAAATACTACAATAAAGCAAGAAAAAAATGCAAATCACCAAACAACATTATTTAAATAGGGGAAAAACATGGACTAATGAACAGACAAACTTATTTTCACCAGGAAGCAAGTGTCTGGATTGCAGGACAACATCACCACTCTGCCTAAAATTCCACGTGGGGTAGAAGAATCTGCCATGCTGCATCTCTGAAGGGCTCCTACACTTCCCAGTGACTAATATGCTTTTTATATCTAGCAATGGAAATATTCCAATTTCTCATCAAGAAGTTGGAACAACAGGAAGACAAAAGCTTGCAGACCTCCTAAAACCAGATTCGGATGTGCCTCCCCAGTCTATTTGATCTTGCAGCTCTTTTAAATGCCCTCTTTTCCTTTAATGTCTCATTCCTGTCATCTCTAAGATTATGTTTCTGTTTCCTTTCTCTTTCCTTGTACTTTTCTTCCTTTCCAGTATTGCATCTTCTCTCACTCAGTGGGTTTTTTGATTCTTCTTTCTTATTTTCATTCTGCTCCCACTTTTCATAATCTCTATCTGTCTTGGCAGCTGGCCACACATTGCTTGAGAAAATATTTTCCCAAAGACTGTTCCTATCCACCATGTCAGAGAAAACGTTTTCAAGGATAGAAGAGCTATTATCTTAATAGGAAAAAAAGACATGATAGCAACATTTCATTACTCATCCAAGAATTCCCAAAAGAAAAAAATGCTAATACAAATAATAGCTGTTTGTCATGTCTGGATCAAACTATCAAGTATTAAAAATAAAACTCAGTTTAATAATTTGAAATGTTTCTCCAAGATCCAAACACAACTCAATTCGTATGAACAAGGATTATAGGATTATAGGAATGAAAAGAGATGAGATTACATCACCAAAGTGCACTTCAACATGAAAAAATAATAAGATGTTTTTTAATCTAGTGGAGAAAGGTTAAAATTTCAAACTAGAAATAACAGTGAGAATGTTCAACTAGAAAAATTAATTACTGGGGAAAATGATGAAATGTTTCAGATGTTGAGCTTCTCCAGATTACAATCCAAAAGCTTTCCAGAAGGATTTAAGGTCAACAGAAGGGTAAGGCAGCCATGCTTTACAAAGTCAAAGCAGATGATATAATGGTGTATTTTGGGCTTAATATCTATGAAAACAAATTCCATAGTAAGCAAACACCCAACAAACTTTGCATGTCTCTTCTCTTCAGCCTAGAAAGTATATTCCACAGAGGCTTGTAACCATCACACAAATAAAAGAAAGAAAACCTTCAGTGAGGTCTTTACTCAGAACAGATCTTTGTAAGTAAAAATGCCTTTCTTGGTTTCTTAAAATAAGAATTACAAAAAGGTAGGAGACTGGAAATTGCACTGGAGGGAGCAAAAGGCACAAAAAAACCCCCCTACAAAACCTTCAAACCAAAATACAAAGATGGTTAGAGAAAACTTGACTTCATAGTAGACCCTGACACAAGGTAAATGTAAGGACAGTAATACTGATAGAAGTAGAGCATATCCCTTTCCAGCTGAAATAAGTCTGTTGTTAAAAAATGCTTATTCTGCTTACTTTAGTTGCTTTTAATTTCCACTCATATTGATTTCTTTCATTTTCCAGTTCTTCCACTTTAATTTTGAGGTGCCTAAGTTCCTGTAGCAAACCCTGCAAAGGAAGAACAGCAGCTAAAATTGAGATTTCTCTGGCAGATATTAATTCTTCATAGTCCTGAATTAAAGATCATGCATGAAACACACAGTAATGTATGTTGAACCACCACATGAAAAACTGTGACCAGTCTAAGAAGTTGTCCCTTAAATGTCCCTTCTCCCTTTTCTTTATATCTTATTGTTCATTCTGAAGGACAATATTATTAAATCCTTAATGGAGCTCTGACAAAACAAAAAGTCTTTAAATTAACTAATGAAAAGAAAAATTTGGAGGCAACACAACTTTGGAATTCCTGTGTAGTATATACATTAAACATACACATTAATATCTTGGATTACATTAAAATTGATTTTGAATGACTCCCAGATTTGACTCTCAGATTATTTCTCCAATCTGCAGCTTGTCCTGTAGTCTAATATTCCATTCAGTAGTTCTGCCCAGAGGCAAGCTCAGAAACAACAGCACTATTTTCAAAATAGGTATCATACCAAAAATAGTTATTTTTGTAATAAAAACCCATAAGAGAAATTACTGAAAAGCTCCCTCACAATATAAGGAGATTAATTATGAGTTCTGGTGATTCAAATTTGAAGCAACTAAATTTTAAAGGCAACTAAAGCAATCTGATTTAAAAACAAATATTAAAATGGTCTTTCCCAGGCGTAACAGTATCATTTCACCTTCAGTGAATTTAAGCAGTAACTGCTACTGTCAGGGATTAAAAAAAAAAAAAAGGTGTTGGATTTTCTATTTTAAAAATACAAGCAGATTATTTTTACTATGGCTCTTTTAATTCACTTTGACATTATCATTAGAAAAAGAAAGGATACATGTCAGATAATCTTAGCTGAAGCTATTTTATACCTGTGTTAGGCACTTAAGATATTCAGGATTCAATAATCTGTGTTCAGAGGACTGGTTAGGGTGCACCATCAAGTGCAGCTGGGGTGACATCATCATGAGGAAAAGTAGCAAACCATGCTGGCATGCTGCACATCAGACAAATCTCAACCCAAAAATCCAAAAAAAACCCAAACCACACAAACACTACAGACTTACAAGTAAAATGGAAACTAAAAAAACCTGAAAGGGGTGATTGAGTCTTACAGGTATCTGTGGTTTAGAAGATCACTGGTGACCAAATTTGTCCCATTAATCAGGGGTGGGATTTTTTTCTGGTAATTTTTATGACACTCTCACTCTTTGCTAAAGAAAGTCACAAAGATTAATACCAAACATTCACAACATAGCTCTGGTTAGTGGGATTTAGTTTATGCAGGAGAAGAGAAGAGGCAATACACAGGCTTCTGCCAAGGGGTACTTCTCGTACATCACACCGAGAACACTGGCTCAGAGTCTCTACTGATCTTGGGCCAGATTGAGGACCATTAGGTGTCAAATCTGGTGTCCTATCTTGAGACTTTCTTTCTTGGATTCTACTATTAATTTCCAGCTGCAGTCTACACATCTGCTCCTGTAGGTCACTGATCAGGTTCACTACTGACTGAAAACATGGGAGGAAAGGGAAAAACAAAAAGACCAAAAAAAAGACAGGTGAGAAAGAAAATTATGCAAAGAAGACATCTTAGTAGTTGCAGCCCAAGAAATACATGAAGCACAGCAGAAGCAAACCAGAAGAAGACAGATTATGTGTTTCCTTTCTGATAAAGCATATGCAAAAGAGTATAAAACCAGATTATTGCACAAAGCTATAGTTTAAATGGAACAGAATCTACATTCCAGACAATTTCATGATTCTGATTCTAAAGTTAAGATCAGAATTTGGTTCCTCATTTTTGGAAGCTTCTGCAGTCGCGTGAAGTCAAATAAAGGAAAATTTGGAACATGTTTTAATATGCTGGCTCAGAGGCACACTTTTGCTGAAATGGGATTTGATTACATTCATTTTCACTGCCAAATCATCCAACTAGGAAGAAACTGCAACGTGCTCAGTTGGGGCCATAACCTAGTTTTTCACAATTCATACACAGAATTTACTAGTAAAGTAATTATGTTTCCAAGTCTAGCATGGGGCAGAAAAATAACTCCATTCCCTCTCCTGCTATCTGGGCTGGATCTTGACATAGAGAAGGAGTTAAGAAACACAGTTAGGAAAAATCAAAGGATACCACAGAAGAAAAAGTATTTACTTTAAAGTGTGCCAATTTGCTAGCCAGCTTCTTGGATTTGTGTGTATCAGTGATACACACAAAAAAATAGCCAGCTCAGAAAACAAACCAAAGCATTAAAATCTATATCACATTGCACCTAAATCCCCAAACTCCGTAGCAAATAGAGCTGGGTATTTTCTCAGGTATTACAAGTTGGGAGTACCTTTCTCTTGGTTTTCATGTACATTTAATAACATATGTTTTGTGATTTTTCAGTCTTCTCAAGTGGACTAAATTTGATGAGCTTAATCCATCTCCCAAAAGAGTGAAAAAGATTTTAGTGGACAGAACAACAGATAAAATGGCAGATTTTAATTTTTTTAAAAAATTTTTTTTCATTACAATGCAAAACAGTCATTCTGTAACCTCAGCTCTCTGGTGAATCAAGTCTAGGGAACAGCTATTGTATGGACAGGACACTATTCTGACCAGGTAGGTATTAACACAACCAATCTCCCACTGTATCAGCATCTGCAGCCAACTTTAAACATTCACAAAGACATACAAAATGTACGTACAAAATTAGGTATGAGAACTTCACACATTTAAGTACTTTTCTACAGGCATTGTGCTCAAGATGAAATTCAGAAAAACAGTTACATATATTTCACTCTATACATATTATTGTCAATTGGGATCACAATGTCTGATGCTAATCCTCTGTCATCCAACAAACATTTAAGTCACATAAATGAGGAGTAGTTCCATAAATAATAAAAAAATTTAGGAAGAATACTGGTCCCTAGCAGATCAACTCTGCAATATCCAGTCTTTTATAGGCTGGCATATTTTGCCATGTTAAGGATAGCTCCCCAAGGTGAAAACATACCATTCATTCAATGGACGCAAGAGTCACTTTACAGCAACATAGTAAGACAATAAGAGAACATGCCTCCAGCTATCTCATCCTCTACACTACTAGCTGTCTGTACAATTCAGATGCTATCCACAACATCTTCCATACTTGGATTTTGTTTCTATTTTTTTTTTTTTAACATCATCTCCACAATCTGGTACCTCACTGAGCAGTACTAGCTGGGGATTGGAATTGTCAGGACACACATCCAACTCCCTTGCTTTCTTTTAAGCACCAAGGGTTAGTCTGTTCTCGTCTTTGACACAAACACTGTTAACGCACACAAGGTTCTGTTCCTGTTCAAACAGGATGCACAGACTTTTGAGCACAAACTGAGAGCTGCTCCAGCTGTGGCAACAAGGGGGAGTTCAGAAGTCCTTCTGCTGTCGACTTGCAATTCTTTTCCTTTGCCTCACATTAAAAATGGGTAGGGAAACACTCTGGGTCCACACAGACTTTCCTCAGGGCAAACTTGACAGTACAGATGAACTCCAGCTGCAGTATGTACCTTTACAGTTCTTTCTATTTTCAAGGAAGGACAGGCTCCTCATTTTTGAGATTCTTTCACAGCATGAACATTTATTAACACTAACATACGACATCTTGATTCAGATGAGACAGAACACCAAACTCCCCAGCCAGAGTCAGTGGCTCACTGACTCAAGTTTCTTTGGAATTGCAAGTAAGTTTGCACTAGACATTTAAATCAGAAGTTACAAGAGCCACAAAATACTTGTCAACAGTTTCTAGACAAAACCACAGCACTCATCCCATGCTAAAAAAGAAAGCAGTAGGATAGAAGAAGGGCTGTGAGGCAAGTTGAAATGGGCAATTGCTACTGCAGTCTCTGCACAGTGACACAAAGTCTCTTTTGTCCACATTTAGGTAGAGCAGGGATCTGGGCTGCCGTTAATCACTTGATAATGCCCCTCACTCATACCTTGCTACATTAAGAAAACCCCACATTTTCAAAATTTCTGAAGTTTCTCAGGTAAGAGGAAAGCTGCACAAACCCTTCAGGTGAGACTTCAGAAACCTTCAAAGCATTACTGCGGCAAAAGTAGACCAGCAAAGGAATTAAAATGACAAAGCCAAGAGTGAGACAGTCCATTTACAAGCAGCTATTCCCCTGGTCCCTGTGTAATATATATAAATAAATGGCACTTTAAATTTAGTATGTGCTTTTGGAGAACCAGAGACAAGTGGCATTCAGTGTGAAATCAATACCTTTGAGAGGAGGTTAGAGATGCTTGATAAACTCTCTGTTGCTAACTAAAACCCAACCCAAATGACAGCTGCACAAGATGAAGTGAAACGAATCTGACACATTAAAACTTGCTCATACTTACAAGGATACCTTAATTTGCTTTGTTTCCTCTCAACACAACCAGAAAAATAATTCTATAGATAAAGCCTATGTGACTGGAAACAGGGGCTGTGAAGCAAGCTGACACAAAATTAGAATATAGAGCAAACACAGTTTAGCTGACTTATTCTGCAATGCCACATTTAATTTTAAACTTCTGAAAACCTATTATTATATTTAGAAATAGCAGGGTCAGCCATGAAATATAATTAACAGGCCATTTAAAATGGTTTGACTACTGGATGCACATGCATCCACGTGAAAAAAAAGATAGGAGTAAATCCATCAAATCACTATTCTGATCACCTTTGTCAATCCTAAACGCAGTTTTGGAAGCAGCAACTGGCCAGCTGCAGTCCATGAGAGAAAGAGTTTTGCTCTGCCAAGCACAGCTTTGCTCCACTCATGTAAAAAAAACTAACTGCAATTTCATTTGAGGCATTACACACTGTAAGAGCATGTTGCAGTGGCCATGATGTGCAGAGATACAGCAAGATTAATTTCATTTGATCGCATGTCAGTTTGGAAAACTGTCTCACTCTGAAGCAATGAGGTGATCAGAACACACCTGTGTGTGCACGAACAAAAGCAAACCACAGGTAGACTGTTCGTGCATGTCAAAGTGGTATACTCACTAGAAAGAAGAGGCAAGAAGTTTAGGAGAACAAACTATTACCAAATTTAAGCAGCTATAGTCTAATAAAGAAAATGTATTACGAAATTTCATTCTGATGTTTGAAATTGTGTCTGTATTGAAAAATTAGTATAATTTACAGGAAACGAAGCTGAAATAGTGGTAAAGCATTAGAATTGAAATAAGCATCCTATTTGATTGGAAAAAAACCCTGTTTGTCTTGATAAATTGGATTAATGCTTATTCAGGATAATCTGGAATTACGATACAAATATCTCAACAAGCAAACCAAAAACGCTGTTTATTTCCCACAGCTTTGCCTACGACACCCATTCTCCTTGCTTTGCACACACACATTTTTGACTTTCAACAGGCCGGAAATCTAATCACATCGTGAGGTAGTTAATAATTCAATGCATACTTAACACAACGATTCTCATCTTTTCCATCAGATTAGAATGCTTTTCCATCTCAGCAGGAACTTGTCCTATCACTTAGCAATACAACAAAGGTTTCCAGGCCAATAAAACTCAATTTTTCCATCAAGGGGATACACACAACTTGCTGCAGTGGCAGAAGAATTTCATAGGTCACCCTCATCACAGGACCAGACTTATAGGCTACTCAAAAGTCCTGTCAATAAAAATGCACCCAAAAGTTTTGCTACTTTCCAGAAGTCAGGCTGATTGTGCATGTCCTGCAATTATTTAGGCATCGTCATCCCGGTATTCCACATGTCATGAGAAGAGCTGAATGCCTCTCTAGAGGGCAGCTGCTGGGAGCAGGCTCCCATCTGCAGCAATTGGGAGCTGCTCAGACCTGTTCAGATTTTCAGGTACTATGAAAGTGCTCAGACCTTCTGTCCACAAGGCACTGACAATTATGCATGAAAGAGCATGAGAAAGGCCACAGATGGGAAAAGCAGCAGCTGGTGCCTCTCTGGCTTGCAAGCTCTGCCAGAAATTGCTCTCTTTAAGTTATCTTTTGATCTCTAAAGAAAATTTCACAGAATAAATAAGTGGGAAAACAAACACACCCCAAATGTATTATGTTGGTGCAGGTAAATTACCAATGCACAGTTATCAAATATTCCACTAGCAACGTTATGGAGAGCAAACAGTCTGCCTGGATTTCAAATTCTCGCAAATCAATATGGAACAAAGGTTTTGGTTTTTTTTCAGTCAGCAATGTATGAATCTCAGACAGTGTAGTCCCTCTTTTCCAGGTAATCCTCTCCTGCTAGTTGGCCCCATTACAGGACCACTGAGTCAGGCAACACATGGCAATTTGTATGAATTACTCTCTTCCACTATGACTTTCCTTCCCAGCTCCCACCTGCTATCCACTACCATGCACTGGCTGTTGTTCAGATGATGTTCATTCAGTATGTGTCATACTGTCTTTCTTAACCAACACAGCAAAAAGCAAAGCTCCTTTGATGTCCAGAACTCTCCACAACTGAAGGGAATTGTCTCCAGTCCATGACTTTTTTTTTTTTTTGCATTATTTATCATGTTACCACAAGGCAAAACACTCATTTGAGGCAAATATCCTGCCCCATGTCTTTCCTTCCCAAGTGCCACAAATGCATTAAAATACCCAAGTTTGATCACCTCAGTGCCTGTAGCACCACTGGTACTACTGAGCTGACAGTCTTTTCTGCCACATAAACAAGGAAAGAGCTCTGGTAGGAATGCCAGGCCATCTCCTGTGGAAAGGAAAGGGTTAAGTGAACATCAACTGTAATATATGCTTCTGGAAGGGACTCTGCCTTGATTAAAGGCAAACAGCAAACTCTGAAGTATAATGAGAGAGGGGAAAAGAAACCACATCCCAAAAATGCATGATCACACTCCTCACTCAATTCATAGGATCAATGGTACAGGCTGTGCTGTAAGCATGGAAAATCCTATTACATGCTGACTAGCTCAAAAGCTCAGGTGTATGACATCGTATCATAGACGTGTGATAGAAAAAAATTTAAAACAAGCTAAGGAAAAAAACAAAACTCACCTCAGCTTTGTTCTGTTTCTCTTCATATTCACTCTGTTCCTTTTCCATACCAACCAGTTTAATTTTCAGGTCTGAAACTTCAGCCATTAGATCTAATTTCTGTGTCTCCAGCGATGTGCGACTCAGCAATTCCTGAATGCAAAGCAGAGTATTTTCTCCAGTTATTTATCTGAACACTGACAGACTACAATGTAATTTATTGGCAGGCCCACACTGAAGTCCCTACCCCACAGTTGAACTGTGTGTTTCTCAAGTGCTCCAGTTATTTTCATCTAAATGTTCTTCTGTGTTAAGCACTAAACCACTGTGCCCCACTCCTTATTTCAAGAAAATGTGTGGCAAAGTTAATCCCTGGGCAAGACATGAAATCGAGAACAATACTAAGGCTGAACAAACACAAACCTACATAATGACACATTACAAAATAGTTGGCGTCTTCCTAAAATACCCATCAGACAAAGCTACATTTTAGTATTACATTGTAGACCTTCTTGTCATTTGTTATTCAATAAAGGATATCTTACAGAACGAGAACCCTAACAAAAATACCAAATTAACAAAGACAAGCAATGCTTCTGCAGTCACACCTATAGTACTTGAAAGCTTACACCATGTAGGACTTGGTAACTTTTGAAGGCTACAAACTGTGGAGGGAATAGAAACTGGTATGTCCTCACTGGAACTAAAAGGGAATCTCTAAACTGAGTAACAGTGAAAAGGAGAAACAACTGGCCTTGACTTCTGCTTTTGTGCCCCAGACTTGTTTTTCAGATTGCAGAGAAGACATACTTTGGATGGAGTCATCTCACTGTGTTTGGAAATCATTCAATATTCACACCTTCATTGCATCTTTCAATTTTCAAGAAAGTCAATCCCAAAAATCATCAAAAATAAACAGTGTTTATTGTATATATAAAAACCGCTCATGTTGGTCTCTACTTTAAAAACTCCATTCTGGAGTTTAAGCCTTACTGAAAAATTGATATCTGAACTTTCCAAGTGCCTAATTAATTTTTTAAAAAGATGTTGGTTTCTAAATGGTTACAAATGTTTATGGTAATTCATAAACCACATTAAGTGTTTTGATCATATGAAACACAATGAGGAATCACAGCTGATTCTGCTTTGAATTACAAGGAAGTGACTTAACTGAAGGTGCCATGGTTAATCTGGGTCTATGCTGATGTTACTGAGTGTTTAGAAATCGCCTTGTCCATCACCCTTTTCTCACCTCTTTCTCTCCCACAAACTGTACAGTGTGTTGTAGACCGTGACTTGGAGCCAAGGAAGCCACAATGGTTATTTTAAAAATTAAACAGCTAAAGTTTATTTTGAACCCCAATCTTCCTTACATGTGAATTGGTCTAGTCTGGTGGGGAATACTGCCTAAATTAAAAATAGTACTAAACCTGCATTGGCATTGCAACACCAGGTCACTACTATTCCCAGTGCCATGCCCATTCCTGCTGACATTAGCAATGATATTTGTGTATGGATAGGGAAATAAACAAAAATGTAGCCTCATGGTTTGTTTTTTTTTATTTTCTCTTCTCTGAATGAAATCAAGCAGTAATCAGTAAAAGATATTGCGCCGACTTTTATTATTGAGAAACTGTAAGAGGCAATCACCTAATGAAATCCCACAAGCTTTCTACAAAGGTGATTGCAAATTACAATTATAATTACAAATAACTCCTCTATCTTCCAGAAAAACACTAACTTGCATGAATTTCAGAGGCACATTTCAGTCCAGACTGGCACAGGCTCTGTACAGCTGTTGACATAGTAGACTACTGCAGGTTAAATGAGAATTTTGATATGAAATAAGGCCACTGAACATCAGAAAGGGTAGCAGGATGAGGCAGCTCTGGCCCTGTGGACAGACTCTATTCAATGTTGAACTAAAACAACACTTAGAATTTGTTTTGGACACTGACATGTTCCATGATATGAGAGAATGATTTCTTAATAAGGCAAGGAGACATAGCATCCCTCTAGAGATTTTTAACAAAAGATCTATGCTTTGAATACACCATCTGGCATTACTCTTATTTTTTGTGTAGACTCCTAAATTACACTTAGTTATGCAATGGAGGGCAATACACACTCACTGCTCTCATTCCAAGTTCAGTAGCTCCATGTGAACATGAAGGCACCACCTGGTATAAGTGAGCATGAAGGCAGCTGATTCTCTTTTTTAATCAGCTCTAACAAAATTTTACTCTGAAGCCAGAGAATCAGATTCCCAGCTAAACTGGCACAAAACTCGTGACTTAAAATAGCAAAACAGCTAACTATCCCTAGTTTGTTTTCAATGGAGCTACACTGATTTAAAACAGCTGACGATTTCTCTTGCATCTAGAGAATCTAACTTTTGCTTTGAAAGCAAGTGCCGTTTAAAGTAAATGTCCCCTCTTGAAATGGTAACATCTGGAAGCAATTATTTTCATCTTCAAGCAGATGCTCACAGTGAACAGCTCATTAAGAATGCGACCCATTTTGTTACAGAGAAATTATAGCGTATTTCAGTGGTATCATGCAATTTGAATTCGGCCAGAATAAATATGAAATTGTAAGAAAAGAAAACACAAATTTATGTTATTGATTTTAAAGCAAAAAAAGATAATATAAAACAGGCAAAGTGGTAATTTGGGCTGTAAGCTTTGGGAAGATCTTAAAGAGCTGAAATACAGAACAGAAATAGAACATATCATAGGGAATATTCTTTAGAAACAAGATACTTCTTTTTAGTTTTAATTTTAAAATGTTTCATTTAATTTCTTGAAGTTCTTTATTTGAAACTCAACCTTTAACTTTAAAAATCAAGGGAAAAAAGTTATTTTTAAGTAGAATAATTACAAAGATGAGTCATGCAGAAGCTACAATATGCATGTACCAGACAGATCAAGGAATAGCAAACCATTTCCAAATGCAAATGTATTTTTAAAATTCACACTATATACTTCTAAAATATTTAACCAACTTTTCCAATATTCCCAATGAAACTGAAGCACAGGCTGTAATTCTCAGGTTCACATTTTATTGTCTTGGAAATACATAATTCTTATAAAACAGTTTATAAAATTTAACATGACAGAAAACAGCTTGAAAAGAGGATCCTACACTTTTCTAGGCTGTCAGCTGCAGGTACAGAAAATTCCAGCATATTTAGCTCTTCACAAAACAGAAGAAACAATCATGCCATACACTGAGAAACCATAAATAAGATTTTAGTCAAGTGGGGGGGAAGGGAAGAACCTCCAAAGATCCCATTTTGCACTTGTGCACCATACAAAATAAAATATTAAAAAATCTTAAAAAAATTCCTTACTTTTCACCCTTATTACAAGAGTTGAGACAAACAGACAGACCAATCGACCTACCTGGTAAGCAACATCCAGCCAGAACCACCACTAATGAGGACTGCACTTCTCAAGTGCTGTGTGTCAGCTGTGATAGAAATACGATATTTACTTAGCTGAAAACACAGCTGAGAGAAATGTACATGTGTAATCACCATGAAATGGTGCAAGTCTGTAGCAGTCAGTGAATTACAGCCCTCCAATTCATCATTTGCCCAATATATAGTTAAGCAAGGGAAAGGACAGAACTTCCCACTGCACTGCCAATTCAAATCTGTCTGACCAGCAGACTGCTGCCTATGTTAGCTTCAAAATAACAAAGCAGTATAGAAAAGCTGGACAACTTGAGAGAAACACTCTGAAAACCTTACAGCTCACACTAGAGCAGCACAGAGCACACTTCAAAATCTGAAACACTAAGCCAGCTGCTGGCAAGAAGTTACTGCATGCTATAAACAAATGCTGAAATTCATCTAAGATCAGATAACTCAGGCAACTGAAAGTTGAAGGAATGATCTTTGCCGGCCAGCAATGTTCCTGAGAAGCAAATAGATACACACCAGATTTATACCCAGCAACCAAGACAGGATTCTGGCTCCCTTGAGTATAAGACAACTGCAAAACCAGAGCAGGTACACATGAAACGGCACCGGACTCAAGTTCCTACTCTCAAACAGCTCCTCCCTGCATTCTTTTAATCCACTGTTTTTTAAAAGGTCCTCCATTGTGCCCCACACAGGGCACTGTCTGCCACACCTTTCTCTGGCCCTTGCACTCAGGCAGAAGTGGGACATAAACTGACACAAGAAAAGAAATTCACTCCTGCTAGCATTCAAACATTTCAGTTTGTTTATTTTTTAAGGTAGAAAGAATCCTAAAACCAAGTGCTTTGTACATCGTGAGATAATTCACTGTGAAGACAAAACTGAGTTTACACAACACAACTATGCAACAAGAGTCCCTTGAATTGCATCTTGCAATTATGTGTCAGAAATTATTAGGAAGGCAGAAGGTCAGGGTCAAACCACATCTAGGATTTGGTACAGATCAGCTATAGGAAAGACACTGCCACACAGATCAGTATTTTCACTGGCAAAACAAACTTTTATCCTTTATGCCAGAGAGCTTCAATGGGAATTAGTATCTATTAAATAAATCAAATGCAGCTCTGGAATAGCAAAGAGGTAACTAACTAATCTTATGATAATTAACAAAAAATGCATGTAAAAGCACTGTGGAGGTGAAATCTGTGTATGGAGAAAATTCACTTTTCAAACTGACTTAACTCAGCTGTCAAGCCTGACAGCATAGGTTTCATAGCACTGATGTGTTTACATTAGGCATGACTGGTACTTTCTGCTATGGGACAATTTAGCCAACTTTATAAAGCAAAATTTATTTTTGCTTTCCAATTCTATAGCAAGTTGACAGGAGATTCCCCCAAGGCTAACAATGTTCAATATTCTTTTTTCTCTTAGAAAAAAATATATTTCTTTCTTAAATTGACTGGAAGAAAGTTCTTAAGTGATGCCACAAAGTAACTTGGAATAAGACACATATACATCATTGCTTCCTAAATTGGCTGTAACTTTACATTTTAAAGCAGTTAATATACTAGAAATGGACTCTGTCACAACATAAACTCTTTTCATAGGATAATTCAAGGAAGTTTGTTGTTTTTTTTTTACATATTCATTACAATGTGCTACGGGGAAATGCAGGTAACTATTCACACAGGCCAGCTTTTCCATATAATTTACACATTCAGTGGCAAGACAGAGACACCATTGGAAGGCAATTCAAAGAGATCAAACTTTTGTGTTTCTCCCAGTCATGTTCCAAAAAATTAATTTTCTCTTACTATTTACTATGAAGGATGACCTTGTTTCTTGGCCCAAACAAGAATCATATTTAAAAGAGTGATCTGAAGTTTTGCCATTGACTTGGAGTTTTCGAAAGATCTGCTTTGTTTTTGAAAATGCAAACACCTTCAAGGTGAAAACTACTTTTCTTGATTATAGGCTGTAGTGGAAAAAGTATCCTTACAAAAGTAAAACATTGAGTTTGACACCATAAGCATCATATGCCTGCATTATCTGTAACTGTGCACACTAGGGCATCTCTGCCTCTCTTACACAGGATTCTCTTGCTTCTCAAACACTGCTGAACCATATTTTCTTTGGCTGTGGTTCCATAAACAGGTAGGTCAAACACTCATCTCTCCATTGCCCTTATGCCACACCTTGACCTTTTCTGTGAGCTGTTTCAACTCACCCAGCAGAAAAAACATCCCCTTCCTTTTAAACCCCAAGTTAGTTTTCTCCCAGTACTGAGGAAAAAGTTCGATGAGCACACCTGTATCAAATCAGTTGCAGAAGCACATGGTCAGGAAGAGGGAGAAGAATGAAAGAAGAATGAGATCTCCTTTTTGTTACAGCAACCTTCAGATTGGCTCAGCTCATTTGTTTAAAGTTCAGATTTGACTAAGGGATGTTGCACCATCCTCTTAGATCAATGAAGAATCATGATTTTCTTCAAAGCAGCAGCAGTATCTGTTGCTACTATTCCACATTCATGATGCCCACCCAAAATGCTGAACAACCATTTTATGTTATTTGTATAAATTTTCTTTTAGCTGCTGTCTCAGAAGTGGTTCCATGATCACTTTGTAGCAGAGTTCAAAACAACTGTGCATAAATCATAAGCCAGAAGGATTTTAGCCAGTAACTCCACCCTGACAAAGAGAACAAGTCTCTGCTAGCATAGATTCAGCAAAAAATATTTTTCAGGATAGCACTGCATAACCTTTCTGTTGTGGAACTGCCACGTATCACCATTAAACTATCTTAAAGTTTATGAATTTTGTTTTTATTGCAGCATTTTGGGCACAGAACTAATTAAGAGTCACTTTTCTTACAGTTCCAAAAATTAAAAAGGCAGGACTTATCCTGAACTCAGGTATATTAAGTAAATAATATGCTTATCCATACTGCAGTTAGTTTAGTTCTACTAATATACATAGTAGACTTTTCAAGCTGGGGCAATTATCTTTATTGCTCCATTTTCCATTTAGAAGAAACAGTTGACTTAAGTTCACAAAGACAAAAATGGGTAGAATTCAATATATTTTAAATAAAAAAGCAGAACCATGAAATAAAACTGAATTTACACACACCTCAGGAAGGTAACAGAAGTCATTCTGAAAAGCAGGATACTAGCAACTGCTGGCTGAGAAGATCTGAACCCAACTCTCCCCCAGATCCATCTGTTGAAGCCCCTGAGGCCACATACTCATTCCACTTTTGACAAATGGTCTGCAGGAAGGTCTATTGGCCACATATCTTACATGAATGTCATAATCACGACACAGATCATTCTCTTCTATCTAAATCTTAACTTACTCCCTGTAGAGGGTAATCTTTTCAACAAGATGAACTGAGAAAAGAACCTTCAAATTAAATTATAATAAATAGGACCCTCTGCTGAGCCCTAATAAATGTAGAACTTCTCTATTGAGATGCTGAGAGACCTAACCTAAGTTTCCCATAACCCACTCTCTACTGGGAGACGTAATCTGTGTGAGAAACAACAACTACAGCATTCAGAGTTATCTCAAAATTTAGGTTTAAGGTTTATGTTAAACATATCTGGAGATTCTCTGACTTATTTAGCTTCAGTACAGTCCTTTGTAGATTATCCCCTTAGGATCAGCTTTGTAAGCAGTTTATGCACGTGCATAATGCCAGATGAGTAGATGCAAATGTTTTCACTGAAACAGCAAAGTACGTTCAGCATTATATTCTATTTTCAGATGCTTCAGTTTTGTGTTAAATAAGGCTTTAAATTCACAGTTTCCTCAGAAGACTATCAGGGAAAAAAAACCTGAAGTCAGAGGAACAATAAACAGCTTTAGCAGAAGTCACAGAACAACTATCTAGTTTTTAGATTGAAACAGGAAGCTTCTACATTCTATTGTGAATGCCTTCCTGAAGTCTGAAAACAGATTTTTGTAACTCAAATAGTTACTGATCTTTGAATTTCACTTCAGATTTCACTGGAAAACTAAATGCACTCACTACTTGCATTTTTAAAAATGTCCCCTCAGAATAAAACCCTTTTCCAGTCAGAAGTATTTTGGGCTGCGAAAGTTGTGCAAGATGGAAGGTTTTTTTCCCAAGAAGCTTTGAGAGGTGTAATTTCAAAGGTTTAGGATACAAGTTTATCTTATAGAAATTGCTGCTGTTTACACACACATATGTACAATGATCTTCATAATAATTTCAAGCTATGATCAGTTTGTAGAAAGACTTGTATATTTCACGTAAAATAGTAAATTTTTAATAAAAATTTGGTGTGGGAAGAACTAAGTTCATCAAGAACAGTATCTATTCTGGAAATTTCTGGCATAGATTTTGAAGGTCATTTACAGTTTCAGACCTATTTTTTAGTCTATATACTGTACTAACAGAAGATCTGCATCTCTAAAAACGTGAAAGTTCTTTCACATCAAACAGACCCGCAAGCTTGGCAGTTACATATGAAATTAAACATATTTAACTTATCATTTGTTCTGCTCCCTCAACATAGAACATCAAAGAGTCTGAAAGTGTCAATTGAAATAAAGAGAAATGCGTCATTATATACTAATTTTCTTATATAAAAATAAGGAGAAAGCTCTTAAGCAGAAATGGTTATAGAACAGAATTTGTTAGAGTAATACATTTCAACTTGCTACTTGTTCGACCATAGGAAAACACTAGACATTTAAATAAAACTTCTTAATTCTATAACTCCTACATATATTAGATACATTTAACCTGTCTAACCAGTTACTCAGCCATGTCCAAATAAGCACAGTACAAATAAGACACAATAGTTTCATTTTACATGCTGCCACGTACAGTATTATGCAACCAGCCAGTAAAACTTTTCTGTAACAGGAAAACAAAGAAACATTCACTGGGGAAAAAAAAAAGTGCAAAGCAGCAAAAGAACAATAAAAGAGGCATTTTTTTAATGCCTGTTTTATTTTGTTGCCAAAGGCACTCACACACGCAGACAAGCTGACCATGTATGTTCACCCCTCCACTGGAGAAGACTATGCAAGAAGAAGCTTTGCAATCTAGATTTTTACCTGTTGAAGCATTTCTTCTGTAGCATTCAGCTTCAACTGATGCCCCTCAAGACAGATTTCTAAGTCCCGGATTTTCTCTCCTTGAGCTTCTACCTGGTCTGTCAGAACACTCACCTGTAATTTGAGCAGAGAAGCACAATGCTATTGAACTGACTGTAAATAAGTTTCAATTACCTTATACATATAACATCCACATAACGTTTTAACAAGTTTAATATTCTTGTGCACTACAGCAACCTGCTCTACCAAGATTTTTCAGTCTTACCTCTACTTTACTTCAACCACGCCCTCTCATCCCTCCTCACCCATAATTACTTTGTTTTGATATAAAAAAGAGCATTTCTAGAAGAGATGGAATGCTACCTATAGGTAGGCATTTCATGCAAAAGTCTGAAAAATTAGAAAGCAGCAAACAAGAACATAGAATGCTGAAAATATTTTATGTGGTTTTGGAGGACACACTGCCATTTCAAGTTCTGTCAGCATTCCACTCCCTAAAACAGATAAATAGGAAAATTGTTTATTCCGAAACCAAACAATTACTTTACCTCTTACAAGAACAAAAAACCAGCTTACCTATCAATAAAGCCTTCTGAGTTATACAGAATGTAATGAGTAAAAGGCGTGTTTTAGCAGTGACAAAGTTCTATTCCAAGAAAAATTCCCAGGCTTTGGCAAGCCAGAACATGAAAGCAAAAGAAGTGAGATAGAGACATGAATCCCAGGAAGAAAAAACAATACGCAATACTGGTACAGAACTGTGGGACTGGTGGTATAGACAAGTGTGTAATAAGAAAAGCCCAGCAGCTGAATTCAAAGCTTGCAAAGCAGAAGAAGCTACACCCAGGATAACGTCAGAAAGACGTGGAAAAAAAATCTCGGTGTTAATTCCTGTATTAAGCAGCACATACTCTCTGTATGTTCATTTTCACTATTTATTTATGTAAAAGCCTTGATTATACTAGAAAAATGTTATCTCAAACAAACAAAAAAAGGAGCCTTAGTTGTTTAAACTCCATTTTGAGGGAAACGCATTAACAAAAACTTATCTATGTTTTCACATCCAGCCCTGTAACACCTTTAACTAAAAAAAAAAAGAAAAAACAAAGGTACAGTATATCTAAGTGAAGCTTTTAAGATGTACCCACTATGTAGCATTTCTAAAACCTAGTGAACAACTGAGTTCATTTCAGGGAAGCTGCAGAGGGAGACACTAAATGATTTTCAAAGTAGTTGGCTGCAGCATAGAGTACAGATGAACTCAGGATGAGAGAAGATAGGAAGGAGTGGGTGGAGGCAGGGGGACACATCCAAGCTGGGGCAGAGAACTCCCTGCAAGGAAGTCTGCTGCTTGTCTGCTTTTTTGTTGTGCTCTCATTAAAAGAGGGATGTCACACAAAACCCCCCTGTGAGGTCAGAAAACACAAAGAAACAAACTGAATCTTCTCCTTCAGCCTGATGCAAGTTCCAGAGAAAGAAAACCAGCTCTGTTTAAAGTGTCAGATTAGGTTCCAACTAGCACTGCAACAGGGAAGCAAAACTCTGTATGTTAAATGTGACCTGCAAAGGAATTCTGTAAAATCTTAGTAGCTTTAAAAGCATGTTTTGACTGTTCCAGTAGTTAGGCTGAGAGGCACATTAGCCACTTCGAGCTCATATTTTCCCCTCTGCTCAGGAGCACATCTGCCAGACTTTTCAGGGGATCAGTGGGCTGCACACAGAACATAATCCCAGTTTATGCTATACTGGCAAATCCATCTTGCTTTAGGAGGACCTGCAACACTCAGCCTGTAGATAATATATTTTCTGTAAGTATCTATAAAAGTGAGGCATATTGAACAATCAGCAAAAAACCAAATAGTATAAAGGTTAAAAACTTTGTGGGAAAAAACCTAAATCGAAACCAAAAAAATCCCCTCACACTCCCCCCCCTCCAAAAAAAAATGCCAAGAGGACAACATTAGCTACTTTACACAGGCAGTGAGCTACAAGAAGGTATCCCAGATGCTGTAGCAGTTCCAGCCTTCACTTTAGACTGAACAATGGAGGTAGGTTTCCAGGTGCACTGTTTGACTCAGCCTTGGTGGACAGGAGTAGTGGGCACTGCCTGTGCCCAATACAAAGTGCCTTGTATTGCTGCTCATGCAGCAAGTCTGATGCAAGACTTGAGTGCTTCCAGCCTCATATTCCCAGCTACAGGCCACAGTCATTAGCATAGTTCAACATGAGCCATAGAATAGAGGTGCTCTGTTTCCCATTCCTTTCTCATCCTTCATACTAATGGTCACACCCAGGAGCCAGGTTTGTACCAGCAGACTCCCTCAGACCAGTGTAACCTCACCATAGGACCTACTTGTGCTCCTCATATTCGACTGCCTAAATACTGGGGCAAACCAGGTTCTAAACCCAGCTCCATCGTGGCACCTTTGTTGTCGTTGTTGATGTTCATCTACCAGACTGAGGTTTTTGTCTATCTTATTTGCCTGGGGTTTTTGCAATGCTACTGCAGTGCTATGCAGTGGGAAAGGAAAAAATGTATAAATATTGACTAAGCCTTTTGATTTTATGGAAGGGTGACTGTAGTAAAAGGCAACAGAGGGACAATTTCTACACCTGATTTTACTATATTCCTTTTAAGAAAAACTCTAGGCAGGTCTTCAAACCATGTAATAAGAATACCTTCTTTGTGCATTTGGCTTGCTCCATCCTTGGGTACCTATTTGTGCAGATGAAAAAATAGTTACTAAGAATCTGCAGGACAAAGACAGGGAAAGCACATACTGAGCAGTAGCCTGGAACAATCTTCAGGAACTTGTAAGCACTGGAGACTTGTGGTCATGTTAAATCCACACAAACTGATATACTTTGAACACTAAGACTCTGCCAAACCTGTTCAAGCCCACCAGCAGCCACGACCATCAACTACTGGGTAGCATGAACCACATCAGAGAAAGAGATCTATAGAAAGATCACAGGGCTAAACAGATGTGAGAAACAAAGGAGGGTCTCACAAGCAAAGCCACAGGTGCACTAGGGCAACCCTCTGCTTTGGAGTAAACAGCTGGGTTTGGCCTCCTAATTGCTGCTCCAGTTATGAGCCACTTGTGTGTGAGTGGACTGTGCAAGACATGAATGCACCGTCTGAAAAGTTGTTTGCTGTTACTAATGGAATCAGGATGTTAGAATTAACAACCAGTTGATTATTAAAAGGTGTTCTCATAAATATCTGTTGTGGTGATGTCTTCCTCAGAAAAGGGGGAATTTGTATCACACACTTAAACCCCTAAATTCCAGCCAGAAGGTGTTTTTTCATTTAGGGTTGTTTTTTTCCTCCTAAATTTGGCAATAGCAATTTTAGTTTAATAGTAAAGAAAAAAATCCAACCAAGCCAAAGCTTGTGTCTCACAAAACATTTATTGTTTATTTAACAACAGCAGTGAGACTTCTGCTCAGTAAATGAACACAAGTGTGATCAGAACAAACAGGCTAAGACATGCTTACAGAAACTGGTGACAGCTACCCAATGTACTTTGATATAAATATATATGCTTATAATATGTTGCAAGTGAGAAGAGAAAGGATAGGTAAAGACCATTTAAAGAATCTCCAGCTTCAGTTTTGAAAAGCATGGAATATACAGTGTAGTAATAGCAAAAATATGCAGGAAAAAAAAAAAGGGGGTGTTGTTTTTTTTTTTTAAGTTGTGTAACGTGTTTTCTCCAGGAGGAAAACTTACATGGGACAGAGAATCTGTTTGACAAAGTGTTGGTAAACTGAGAAATAGGAAACCTGAAGGAGCTTAGGCATGAATTTTAAAAATGTCTCTTTTTCTCCCCCTTTTATCTCCCCCTTAAGTTTTTTGACGATGTAAACAATTTTGGTACACCATACAAGCAGAAAAAATTGCTCTTCTCTCTACACGACAGTCTTCCAGTTCACTAAAAATGGTGACACACAGAACCTACAAAACTGGTACAGCTGAGCAAACCTAGAATGAGAACCACTATCCCAGCAGTGTCTTGGGACTCCACAGCATTATTTTTCATCTCTTTGTCAGTCTCCCTCCTCTTACTGCTGTTACTCCCCCTACCCCACCATGAAATCAATCAGAAGGATTATACATATTATAAAGTAATTCCTGACCAAATATCAGTTACATTTGGTGATCTGTTAACATTTGTATAACAGAAAATACTCTTTCACTTCATCTTTCATTCACTGAATAGCAACTCTGTAGACAATATTCTCTCTTTAGGACATACCTGCAGTATGAGCGACTCTTTATCACCTTCTAATCGTGCCAACCTTTCTTGATAAGTTTCATTATTAGATGAATGATGATTCACCTGTGACTGAGGAAAAAAAGTGTTGTGAGAATTTTTACAGTTAAAGTTTCAAGCAATATTTAATAAAAATTTATATATATTAAGTGGGGTTTATAATACCAAAAATATGAAAAAAAAAGTGACTATAGACCAAAACTGTTCATTTCATATGCATTAAATGTACCTTTGAACATTTGAATGCACCTTTTGTTAGTGGGATTTTAAATACTCTATCATTTGCAGCAATCAAGAATGGAAGAGGAATATGAAAAATACTATCTTATCAAAACAAACCCCCTTTAATTTGAAATATCTGGTCTCGAGAGTCTTTTGCCAAAGTCAAGGAATCTTGTGTTTAAGTGGTAAAAATTGCCATAGGTATTGTGTTTTTCCTAGAAATGACTGAAAGAAAAGTAGAATTTTTTTTTTTTAGCAATTAAAAAATTATTTAAATTAACAAATTCTTATTGGGAATTACTCAAGCCACAGAATCACTTCTGGAATGCTAAATGGCTCCAGGGAGCAAAACCTTCTAAAACATGACCTGCTTCTAACTATTAGGTTCCATTTCCTATGAATTTTAATACTTCAGATAGAAACACCACAATTAAAAAAAAATCTGCAGATTTATTTTAAAAAGTTTAGAAGAGTCCCATAGTTTTATCCTCCATACCAAAATATTGTGTAATTGTGGGAATGTTTGCTCAAAGCATCAGAAGTAACCTGAGCCCTCAGAGGCTCATTTCCCAGCTCCATTACAGGCAATGCATTTCTGCCAGGGAATGTAACACTGTGCCTGGCTTGTCAGCTAACACAGGAATCCAACTTCAATAAGTTCCTTCAACTGCACTCATCTGCAGCTGACTCCTCATTTATAGTTACTTGCATAATGGCACCAATATAATTATAATCCTCCTCCCCATCTGTCCTTTCTTTTTCAACTGAACATTTGTGAATAGGATTTTAAAAAAATTTAGCTATATACATAGCTTCTTGATCTACACTGAGGTTTACAGGCCCAAATGTAATACAAATGATGAAAATAAACATGGTGCTAATTAATGCAAACCAAGAAATTAAATTTTTATTCAGTCAGAAGAGACTTTTCAAGCCATAAAGTGCTAAACTAGATGGAACCTTTACAAGCTGAGAGGAACCAAGCACCCTTGTCTATGATTATGTTGAAAGAAATCGAGAGAATTACAAAACCACAAACAGTGCTGAAAGATGGGTCACTGTTCTATCCTAGGACCAATATTCTTGTTTTGCATACTCCTAAGGTCCTCCAGAAATGGATTACAGAGACTTTCCATCTTCTTCTTAGCTACCCATTATTAGAACATTAATGTCTAATCTGAATCATCATCTCTTCAACCTACTGGTACTTATCGTACCACCATGGATATAAGAAAGGTTCTTCACTTCAGAGTGAAAACACAAGTTTTTCTGCCTTTTCCTCACAGGTTAATTTTTCAAGAACTGTTTTCTTTTGCTTTCTTTTGGTTCCTTTTCACCAACTATTCCTTGACTTCTTTCGAAATAAAGTGCCTAAGAGGAGACAAAGCACTGAAATTGGCTTCAGTGCAAAAACTGTTTCACAGACCCTTGGGCCATATTTCTTTTCGTATTAACCATAGAGTAAAACTCACATTTTTTCAGCCTAGGACCCATAACTTCCAGATCCTTTTGTAATGCTCTTATTCAGCTGCCAACCTGTTCTTCATTCTGTGTTTACTCGCTGTTTCTGCTTAAATGTTCAACTTTGAGCTAGTCTACACTGAATTGCATCCTATTATTTATAATCCTTTCCTATGCATCAGGCTCTTACGTTTTAATCATGGCTGCAAGACCATTAACTAGAATCACCTATAAATTCCCTAAGCTTTGTCCTTTGTCTCTGTTTAGAGGGTCAACAGGAACATTAAAAACAGGATATGCAGAATCTCACTCCACACCTCACTTATTATTCATTGTCAAAAGAAGAATATGTTAACTCTTAGAATACACCTTTGTCACAAGCTTTTGACCAGTTTATAGCAAGTACAGTTAAGATACAAGACCTCACAGAAATGGCTCTAAACATGCAGATATGAGTACACAACATACACAAACAGAAGCCTCAGATAAAGTTTTACCATAGCACCTGTAGGGAGATGACCCATGCATTAAAGGAATGGTGACCTCACTCACTCTTTCTCTCCTAACTTATTTTAATTTTTTAGAATTTCTGCCCTCACATCTCAGTGTAATTTTTTCAAGCTTTGTCCTGTTATTAAGAAAAACCTCCATCCCTTACCCCCCCAGTTTTCATAAAACATGTTTAACTTAGGCCCTCTGTATTGAGTTGGTCAGTCAGTCACTCTGTATGGTCTTAAACTTATCAATTCTTGTGGTATTGTAATGAAAATAAAGATTCTTTATAAGTAAACAATATGCATTTCTGTATGTCTGCCTAGACAATCCTTTGACCTCAGCTCTACATCCTCAATCATCCCGCCAGACATTCCACCTGGGCTCTTACTCCACATAAAGAGCAGTCTTATACTGCACTTAACAATCCAAAATCTTTAGCCCTAGCAGCTGTGTTTCCATTAGGGTGAAGACTTCCATTAAATGAGTTTTAAATGAGTTTTCTCAATGGCGAGGCCACAAGCCTTCTGCAGTATATCTCTACTTCACACCCAGTAGTTAGGGAGGCTTTCCTGTACCTAGAACAAGTATTCAGGGAAGAACAGCACACTGGTAGGCAGGAAAAGAGTCTCCTAATGACAGAACCCAGTCAAGTAGATTTTGCACCCTTTCTCCTGCCATCATGTGCTATTTTCCTAGGCTAGATTGAAGAAGTACACCTGTAACCCCCTGTGCAAGCATTCCCCCTCAGCCTTACAGGCACAGAGGGTTACATTACTGCCAATGCATTGTTACATAAACAATCTGCCATGAATGCAAAATGGAGTTCAACATTTTTTATAATGCATAATTAGGAATTAGTTCAACACAGAATCGATAGATATTTTACTACATTCACATTTTCCAAATGTATAGCCTGCCATGATGTCTCCTGCACTGAGTGACAGTATAGTATCACCTGCCGGTAGCCTAACGATAAATACCAATGTAAAGTGAATCACCCATGGGAACAGAAAAGAGGGAACAACACTACATCAAAATATCAACCCTGCCCATGAGTCAGTGAGACAGGGCTCAGATAAGTACAGGAAAGTACAGTAGACAGAAAAATGACCTGCTAAATAAAAGTGCCTGATTGACACTCAGCAGTTGTTTCAGACTTGGTCATTCTTTGTGGCATGTATAAAGATGAGATAAAACAATGTAACATGAACCAAGGTCATCTGTGGATGGTTGGAGTGCATTCGGTAGTTGTGAAAGTCAGCACTGAGAGGAAACTGAGCATGTGTAAATTACACATCACACTGATCAGCAGCAACCGAATACAAGACTTGTAACACTAAAGACATAAGGCTATGGATGATTCCAGTTGGTGTAAGAGCTCACAAACAATATATACTGGTCATGTGGTTAAACAAGGTTAAAAGGTTGAATCAACAAGATTTATTTCAGAAGATGTAGCATTAAAGACCAAAAATTGTTACCTGGGTATGACAAATTAAAAGTTAACATTAATATCAAGTATGTTTCTTATAATGAAAGTATGAGAGAAACTGCATAAAAGATATAAAGAAGTTTATGATAACGCATGATAGCAAAGTAGAAGGAAAGATATGCTAAGGCAAGGTAGCTGAAAATATGTTGATGGTAGTACCACTGCAGATGAAAAATCAACTGCATACCATAAATATTTTGCCTACAGGAATCATAGAATCCTCAAGGTTGGAAAAGAGTTTTAGGATCATCAAGTCCAACCAGCAACCAGCACCTCCTCCATTTGTACCATTAAACCATGTTCTCAAGTGCCATATCCACATTCTTTGAATGCTTGCAGGGATGGCATCTCCACCATTTCCCTGGGCAGTCTCTTCCCATATTTTACAATCCTTTATGTGAAGAAATTTTTCCCAATGTCTAATCTAAACCTCCCATGACACAACTTGAGACCATTTCCCCTTGTCCTGTCACTTTTTACGTGGGAGAAGAAACTGATCCTCATGTCACTACACCCTCCTTTCAGGCAGTTGTAAGAGAGCAATAAGGTCTCCCCTACGCCTCCTTTTCTCCAGGTTAAACAGTCCCAGTTCCCTCAGCTGCTTCTCATAGGACTTTTACCTTCTAGACACTTCACCAGCTTTGTTGCCTTTCTCTGGACTTATTCCAGCACCTCAATTCCTTCCTTGTCAAGAGGGGCCCAGAACTGTACACAGCACTTGAAGGGTAGCCTCACCTATGCTGAGTACAGGGAGACAACCTCTGCCCTAGTCCTGCTAGACACACTATTCCTGATCCAAGCCAGTATTCCATCGGCCTTCTGGGCCACCTGGACACACACACTGGCTCATGTTCTGTTGACCACACTGTCGACCACCACCCCCAAGTCCTTTGCTGCCAGGCAGCTTTCCAGCCACTCTGCCCTCAGCCTGTAGTGCTGCCTGGGGTTGTTGTAAGCCAGGTGCAGGACCTGGCACTTGGCCTTGCTGACCCTCACACAACTGGTCTCAGCCCATTGATCCAGCCTGTCCAGATCCCTCTACAGAGCCCTCCTACCCTATGAGCAGATCAACACTCCCATCCCAGTTGGTGTTATCTTAAAACTTTCTGAGGGTGCACTCAATGACCAGGTTGTCCACGAAGATGTCAAATAGGGCTGGAGCCAACACTGATCGCTGGGGACCAGCACCCGTGACTGGCCACCATCTGGATGTAACTCCATTCACCACCCACTCTCTGGGTCTAGCCGTCCAGCCAGTTTTTACCCAGTGAAAAGTACACCTGTCCACAACATGGGAAGCCAGGAGTTGCAAAGCAGTTTCTTGAAGCATCTGCATTATGGTCTCCCTACAGATTTTGGGTATACTTTAATGTGCATTATACTGCAAAAGATATTAACATAA